GAATAAATACATTAAGAAAAAATCCAACATCAAAATCTTCAAAAACGCCTAAATGAGCAAATCAACGAACACAGGGAAGTACATCTAAAACACTTTGGCAACATTTAAATAGAGGTCGTGTTCTATATTCTTAAATCTTATACATTGGTGCTTTTTGACACAGTTGGAAGATAATATTGAGGTCAATTCGTGTTACACACTAGTTTTTTTTTTTTTTGTTCTCAGGGTACAAAAATGAATACAAATTGACTACGAATATTCCTGTCATCAGTCTTGAGGTGATATTAAACCAAATAAGTGATATTATATACCCTGCCTTTATGAATAGAATACTTATTGCCTTACTCAGTTTGTTTCAGACTTATCTACTGTTACATATAAAGGTTTGTACAGTACAATAGGCTCCCTAATGTGGTGTTCATTTCCATCGTAGACTTGTCCGAGGAGGAATTCTGGTCCGATGTATTGACCGCCTTCGACGTGGGAACACGCATGTTCTGCAAAGGACCGTAAATCAACAATAAATCATCCAAAAACCTACCGATTTCAGATGAATTTTCAAAATTTTAAAATTGAATTTTTTGATTTTTTAACACGAAAACTATTCAAATATAATATAACCAAACTCTACTGATTCTAACAATGTAACTTTTGCTATACAGCGTTTTTAAATTTCTAGCAAAAAAATCTTTCTTTGTGATATGATATAATAATTTTGAGAAAAATCATCAACATAATGTCTGGAATTTTGGAAGATAAAGACGAAAACAAAGTTTTGTACCCTCAGAAGTCCTGGACGAAAGTTTGGAAGCTGTCAATTAAGTGGTTCCAGCAAAATCGAAGCATTCGTTTGAAAAAGAATATACGAATTTTTGTGAACGGAGGAAGCGAAATCATGCGAAAGGAGCAGACGAAAGAATAATTTTGGCTTATATTTCGGAATGGTCTAAAAATGCAAAATCTTCATCAGGATGGTAGTATTATTCCCAACTACAGAAAATGTTATCTGTCAAAGAAAATATTGATATAAGCAGGTTTGTGACATCGCAATGATTATTATTTATGAGGTTTTAAACTACTCATTGTTATAGATTTCATCAAGTATCGGCTTTCCTAAAACAACAGTCTGTAAGGCACAGACCAAAGAAATCCAAGGTGTTCGCGCTCGAAGAAATGTAAATGTTCTTAGATAATCCGTCTGAACTGATGAATATTTAATACAAAAAGTAATTTTTATCGTAGAATTGGTGAATTGGTGGCTGAAGAATACACGGCTCATAGTTTTAGGCGTTCGAGTGCAACTCTACCAGCAGACTCTGTGGCAGCTTCAACAGTTGTAAAGTGACACGTGACACGGTGGCTGGCGTTCGAATCGTGTTGTGGAAGAATACATAGAGCATTATCTGAACATGAAATCGAAATTTTGAGAAGAATCATCAAGCAATCATCAAAATCGTTAATAATAGATCTGTCTTGAATTGTAACTTTTATATTTCAGACTACAAAGACAAAAACTAATTCACTGTTAATATTTCTGCAGAAGAAATAAAAATCTGTTCTTGTTTGAAATTTTTTAATTCACTAAACGCTTTGATTTCACTTGTGAATTATGAACTCCTTATGAAGGTTACTGTGGAGTTCATAATAACTATTTAACGAATAAATTTGTTAATAAAGGCGATTAATAACTGAGTTAGTTACAATACTTTTCCGGCGATTGTAATTTTATTAAATTACTGAAAGTTCAAAATGTAAGTTATGCAACCAAACATACAAGTGAATTTTTTTATTAATTAACATTATTAGTTCACTAAATTTGGATATGTCCAAATCATGATTGATGCTTAAAGTGGACCGAAGTATCCAATACTTTTTTTACTTTTGGGGAATTTCGGCGACAGTTCAGGAGGGACTGAGGGTACATCTGGTTGCCTAAAATCATGCATTAATAAGCCTCTTGCTCTCTTGCTTTTCTAATAAGAAAAGCTTTGATATGTTAAACACACCAAGCTCTCCTACAACTCTCTTTTCGAGTTATCTTCCTGTATCAATTAGTTCGATTTGGGTTTTCGTAAAGTGAAATTCAAAATTGCAAAAGTGTTTTAAAAATTATTTATCATCTGGTCATTTTAAAACGAAATTTATCCATTACTGAAAATTTTAATAGTTAAGAAATCGGTAGGTTTCTGTATAATTGCCAACACCGCCGCGAATTCTCCGATATAAAACGCATTGTCAAGTAAAACCGGAACGGACTTTGGCTTCTCAAAGTCTTGTCCAGCCCCAAGAAAACAGACTTACCGTATCGTATTGTAGGTGAGGTGTTCGTGTTCGGTATCCGGAAAGATACAGTCGCTATAGTAATCGAGAAATTGACTTGGACAACGTCTACGTCTTTATCACTTTCTAGACTTACCTACAACTCGCAAAAGTTACACAGAAACTAACACCTCCGCCATACGTACTGAAAGCTCATAATAGATTTGTACTAATCTACAAATTCCAACAAGTGTTGTAGGCATCGGAGGTAAAACAAGGCTATTGGAACTGTCCCATTTGCTGCGAGAGTGCGGCTTGACGTTGCTCCCTCTGCAACCAAACGTCACCAAGTCGTCGAAACCCGACTTCGGAATACCTGTATTCGAAAACAAGGTGCTTCAGGTCCTTGCTCACGCCCAGGACTCCTTTGTCGATGAAGAACTCGTAACACTTTTCCAGCCGGACTCGCAGTTTTACTTCGTCTTCACTTTGATTGTCGATTGTCGCTTTTAGCTTTACGCCGAGCGTTCGAGAACACAGCGGAGACTGACGGTGCCTTTTTTGCAGCACCAGTCGTAGACGACTGGTTTTTGGTAAATTGGCGGGTTATTGAGTCTTCGCTATTTGTGGTCGTGGGTCTGGGTTGTTGATAAGGGACGAATTTGGAAAGGTTGTCGATGTTTCGAGTTTTTCATTAAGCCTTCTTCAGTTATAATATGAATCAACGATTTGTATAGTTTGTGCAAAAATATACTACGTGTTGGACGTAAAAGCTTTGAAAACACCGTTTTTCGCGGAAATTTACAATTCCGAAAAATTAAATTTTAGATCGAAGCTGACAAACGTACCAAAAGTCACCTACCTGTTCAGCCTCCCGGATATCCCGGGTTAAAGGTTTTGTAGACCGCCTGCACAATTAAGAACCACGTGTCCAATTTCGCGCCAACACTGCACGAATAACGTCATAGAAGATGGCAACTGCGTTCACCTAACGCCCACTTTCGCGATCTAACCTCTAGGAGGGTTTCTCGTAAACAACATTAACAATACCAAGCCCTAGTACTGGAGTTTTAAATAAAGTGACGTAATAGAATATCGACTTTGACTCTAGATTGGTAGAGATTCTTATTTTTGGAACGTATATGTTGAAAGCTTGCTAGGACTCTCTTGAAAAATAGTATTTTAGGAGCAGCTTTAAAAATATGACACCACAAATTTGAGCTTAAAATTTAAAAATCTATTGTCTATTTGAATTTGTATATTTTAGAGACAATGTTAATCTGCACTGGCATGCTTTTAAATAAAATATAATCTGATCTGTTCTACTTCTCCATTAGGTAAATAATCGTGAATAGCAACAGACACTGTTACGTATTTAAAAGAAACATATTTTTGTTAAGATCTACTTAAAAGATAAGATTATTTCTTATAAATATTCATTGCCTTCTTGAGTCTCTGTCAAAATATATAGTTTGCTAAAACTCAGTTAATACCATAATTATGTTGAACAAACAATATAATTGTTTTACTTAGATTTATTAATTAAACTGTGATAATAAATGCAATACTTGTTAAAGTTGCTCATTGTTAGTAATGTCACGATTCTTGAACGATATGAAAAAAGATGGAAAGATGGTTTAGAATAGCATTTCTGGTTGCGTCTAGATTTTTTTAGACGCGGAGCTATCAAACAATACAGGGTGATTCGCCCTAAATAATGAATGTGATTTAGGGTTAGCGGCAACCCAAAATACATTATTCATTTATTCCTTGAGTAACACCAGAATTTAAAAAATATCACAAATCTACAAAGTTTGTCGTTTTAAAAGCGGCACTGTCATGCTTTACCTTTAAAGTAAAAGTCGTTGGAAATAATTTTCTTCAAATAAATCCATCGCGGATTTTTCTTGGGCATAATGTAATTGTGTTCGTTTACAGCGCCATTGTTGGAAAATTTAGATTCATGGGTAAATAAAACGTTCTTGGTAAAACCGAAATCATTTAGCAGGTTACCGAACAAAATTGCAGTGTTAGTCTTCATCAAAAGTCAATTTCGCATAGTTCATGAACCAACTGTATATGATACGGATGGAACTTCTTACTCCGCCTTTTTCAGGATAACATAAATCAGAAAACTTTTATTTATTCAATTTTATTTGCTGAGTATGTCATATCCCACTTGATCTGTATTTTTTAGAGATAAAATTAATCTACGCTGGCATACTTTCAAATAAAAAATAATCCGATCTGTTAATTTTCTTAGAAAAGTAAAAACTTTTATTAAGAGTTTAAATTTCTTTGTTTGTGGGACACTGCTACACGCGTGTTTTGGTACACAGTAGGTTAGGTACCGTTCTCAGGCAGATGAGTAACTACTGTGTATTCATGGTACGTTTTATGGTGATTATCCCTTTTGGCGCATATAGAACAAATCGAAAAAAAAATGGAAGGACAGAATATAAAACATCATAATACGCTAACAATAGATCAAATTCAACATACACGAATAAAGTGTTTCAAAATTCTGAAAGTTCTTTACATTTAGAATAAGTTAAGATGGAGTTTAAACAAGTAAACGCTTCAACTACAAATAACGGTTTGTTAGTTCTCTATTTTCTAAATAACCTTGAATAATAACGATAATATCTATCTTTCATAAGGACTATTTAAGAGATAAGATTATTTTTTATTAATACCTACCTATCGCTTGTTTTATTGAATCTGTATCAAGATAGCTTTACGAATAGTCCATATATAATACCACAATACCAGTAACCATAGATATTTTCATTGCAAGTTTCAATTGTATAACGATTATTATTTTTTGTTCTAATTAAACATGGCAACCGTAAGTAGTTGGTGATGTGTACATTTTATAATAAGTTATTTGCAATTATATTTTTAGGGAAAAACAAATATCGACGGACAATATGAAACACCTGACAGTTTTTCCCCGGTAAGTTAGATATTAATGTAAATTCGTGTAGCTGTAGATGATAAATACAGCGTGATCAACACTGTTTGAGTTGGAAATAGAATTTAAGCTCTGAAGAAAGTTTGATTATGAAGTTTTAATAGTAATAAATAACAAATTTTTACATAAATAATATCATGCAAGTTTTCTCAGTAGAAGCTAAGGTCAAGCGACTGCTCTACCAGTTTCAAGTGAAATTCATTAGTACCAACTGAAAAGTACTTGTTGATCACGGATGCTATTTAAATTTTATAAAATAATATACTTTTGTACTTGTACTTTATCAATTATCAGTCAACACAATGGAAGTAAGATCAGGTACTAAAAATGATAAATGTTGTATTTTAGTATAAAATAGTTGAATGAGTAATGGTTCATAATCGGATTAAACTTTTTGCAATGAACAGCGTCACACGCTAATAATTTCCCTAGATTGTTGTTTAAATGAGATAAATGAATCATTAAAAAGTTCGCGAAAACTTTCTTCACTCCTAAGGTATTTTGCATGAATATTCGAGGGTATTTTTCTTCAATAGAAATGTATTTGTTAGGTTACTATGTAGACTCAACTTCTTTATTATTTATCTGATCAATAAATTTAGTAACAAAGTTTCGAAAGAATTAACATCTGCCACGATATTTTTCAAAAATGTAATATCTATATATTACAATTTTCGTCAACTTTATTTCGATATAACGGCGTGGCATGCAACTTTCTATATATTCTGCATCAGCAATCAAGCTTCCATTATGTCAATTGTCATCTTCGCAGAGTTCTATAAATTATTTCAAATAAACATCTTTTTGACCTTGGAATGGGTAGATAAAATTCTTCATATAACGGGAAAGAATGTAAATAAGATAAGAATTTCTCAGTACGTGCATAACTTCGACTGTTTATGTGCATACTTGGAAAAATTTCGACTATAAGCACGTTCAAATTTGAAGGATCAGCGGTTAAAGAAAATTAAATTTTCAATTTCAAAATATTCTAGTTTGTATAACTGCTGCCAGAAACACGTGTATGTCATGGTTATTCTCAAATTTATCATAAACGTTCGTCTCGGATTTTCCTGAAATGTTTCTAAAAAAATTGCAGCAATTGCATTTTTTGAAGTACAAGTTCAAATATTTTTGTTTTGTTGTGGTATAAACAAAATTGAACTTTAATATACATAGTGTTTATGAAAAATGTTTTAATTATTACAATTCTCAAATATCGATATTATCCTATGTTCAAATATAAATTGAACAGCCTGTATCTATTACTACATTATTAATGATGATGATATTTCGAAAAGGTTGTCGACGCATGATGAGTGATTTAAAAGACGTGTCCACTTTTATTCAAAAACGGCATCGCCCATATTTAAAAATTCTGTTCACTTAGAATTTTTACAATCACCTACGTCGACAACCATGTTGAAATAAATATAGTATGTCTTTACTGTAATTGAATTTCTTACCTTATAAAACATTCTTTTCAGAAATTTAAGAAGAGAAGTGGTACTACTGACGTAGGTAAAGACTATGAACATCTCTACATAGCGACCTTAGTTTTAAAATTAATTATTGACGATGACGTAGAAAATTTTTACTTGTCGTCAAACGATAGTGCATATGGTTCTTTCGATGACGTTGTAGTTGAAATTGAATTCAAAAATCGTATCGAAACGTTCGCTATTCAGTTGAAACACCTCAACAGAACAGGGGGAATACAAATTGAGCAGTTAAACGCATCGAGTGGAAACTTTAGCGTCGAGAAGTATTATAAAGACTTCAAAAAAGAGTCGAAGTTGTCTGACTCGCGTATCAAGATGGTTTTGTTTACCAATTCTAAGCTAAATGATGAATACATAGATCAGTTTAAATTTGGCAAATTGACGCCACATGAACAAGACAGTTTGCTAAGTACACGTATTTCAAAGTTGGGAGGACAGTGTTACAGATTTGAAGAAAATGAAGATAATTTCAAAGAGTATGGATCTTTTTTTAAAAATTTGTATCTCTATACTGGTCAAACGGATACCGTAGACCTGGAAACATGTACACTTGAGACTTTCAAGGCATATTTCAAATGCAACGACATCGTTTTCCGAGAGTACCTACATTTTATAACCCGGTGGAGTATGCAACAAGGAAACAAAACCAAATTAAATAAAACGTGGATGAAACACTTGATAAGTCTTTGTGTGTTTTCACCTTTTATCAGACCGTTATCTTTCGTCGCTGGTGGACTAGTGGACGCCAAAAGAAAAATGTTTAGAGAAGCTGTTTCGAAATTTGACTTGACTTACATAAGTAAAAACAATTTCGAGAAAATCGCCTCAATTTGGTCAAACGCTATCGACGATATAGATGACATAGAAGAAATGATTAAAGTGAATTACAAGTACCAACTTATCGAAAAAGGAATAAAAACAAAAGATAGTCTCTATGATAAAGACGCAACAAAAGTATCGAAGCTCATGTGGTTGCTGGGAAAAAGTCCGTTAGTCGTTGAAGGATGTCCACAAGTTTATGAAACAATAAAAATATGTCAGGTTCAAAATCTAATTACACTAGATGATCGAGAAACGGTTAATGGGTGTGTTAAAAAAAGTAGTACTGACCCCCTTCACGACAGTGCAGATGGTCAACAAAAACCATGCTTGTTTGAAAAGTTATTTGATTTAGAAAAGCACGTAGAGTTGTATGAAGACATCCTAGCGAATTTTACATATTCACTGCAAGGGCAAAAAGACGCTGAATTGAAATATTTGCTAAAAATCTGCGAAGATAGCGGCGACTTCATCACTACGGATGATTTAGTTGAAATGATGTAAGCTCCATTGCTGATTGGAAAATGCCAAGATGCTCTGCCACCCAGTCATGTTGAAAGAAAATTGACGAAAATTTTAATAGACATAAAATTTTTGGAAAAGATTAGTGAAAATACAATTGTTTTAGTCGATTGCGTAACAGATGTCAACTATTTTAAACAATTTTTGCCAAATTTAGTAGTCAACAAAGTGAATGACGTTGAGTTAATTCAGAACACAATTCATGAACAGAAGATATATATTTATGAAAACAAAATTTCACACGAGGAATTTTCTGCATTGTGTAAAAAAAAATTAGAAATTCAGTTTCATCACTTCAGATATTTAGACAATCATCGTTTGGAATGGATGGAAAGTGAAAATTATGACCCAGAACGAAAATATATCGACGAACTTGAGAGGTTTCGTCTACAAAGTGACTTTATGGAGTACACTATACACGAGCGTCAGTACTTTAGTCGTTCTCGACAAAATATCAATATTATATGCGCCGATGCTGGAATGGGAAAAAGCACATTAACGAAGAGTTTAAAAAACAGCAGTTCGTCTACAAACTGGATCATTTTAATCTACACCAGAAACCACGCCTTACACTTCAGGAAACATAAATCAAACGTGGAGAATTTCTTAAAATATATTTTAGAAGAAACTTTTAAGGACTGCATTAACCCGTTCCACCAGAAAGTGTTCAAAACAATGCTGGAACAAAATCAAATACAACTAATATGGGATGGACTTGATGAAGCATCTGATGCCACTCAAATTTTCATCTTAACTTTAGTAATTGCATTTTCTAAAAAAGGAGTGAAGCAATGGTTGACTTCTCGAATCAATTTAAGGGATATGTTGGAAAAGGAATTAGGTACGTTTGCGCGAAATATAAGACAATTTAGTGAAAACGAACAAAAAGAATATATAGAAAACCGTTTACGGATTACCGGTGAGGAGTTAAATGAAACTTTTAATAAAATAAGAAAAAACATAATGTCTTTTCCAAATTATGAAATTTTAGGCATTCCTCTACAAATTTATATGCTTACAGAATTATTTGTAAAAGACAGAGATAAATACCTGCTTTTGTTGGACGGTATTTTCACAGTTCTTGATCTATATGAACATTTTGTTGAGGAAAAGTTTAATGTTTTATATAAGGGTAAATATGGTGTTGCATTAGATTGTGAACAAAATAACCGAAAATTTGAAAAGAAAAAAAAAGCTAGAATGAACCACTATAAAAGTTTAGCTTCAAGTTATTACATTTATGACTCTTCATTTCACAAAATTATAAATAAATTATTCCGTTACGACAAGACGACTGACAGTTTTGTAGAAAAAATTAAAACAAAAGGAGATAATGTAGGATTTATAAGTCGCGTTATATCTAAATATGATGTTGAGTTCATTCACAATTCGTACGGTGAATATTTTGCAGCGTTATATCTATTTGATAACGAACCATCCAAAGCACGTGACAAAAATTTTATTTCTGACGGTAGATATAACAACATTCGGTTTTTTTTAGATTTAAAGTTAGCGAAAAATTCGAAATGTTTAGTAGGTGTTATATATAAGAATCTTACAATTCTAAAGGAATTTACTGATGCAGATTTACTTAAAAAGGATATCATTGGTCGTGACATTTTGGAAGTGGCTTGCGCCTGGAATAAAAGTTATCCTCTTGTTAAAAACAATATTATTTTGATTGACAAAAGTTTTAACACGGAATGGTTAATCAGCAATAATAAAAAAGTCGTTAGAACCCTAAATTATCGTGATATAGCACCAGAATTTTATAAATTCCTCGCATCGGGTCATGTGTGTTTTAAAAAATTGATGATTTTGTTACCATTTTTGATTCCAGTATATGACGGGAATCAGTTCGCTAAAGAATATTTAGTGGCGGTTTTATATTATGCAATCAGGTTTGATTGTCCAATAATATATGAGTGTATTAAAAATTCTATTCCTTTAAAAACCACATACAATAATATTAGTTCAAGAAGCATTTTAGCCTTAGCTCTTCTTAATAGGTCAGCACAAATATTAAAAAAAGTTCTTTCCAAAAAACGATTTAGTTCTGAATGGGACTGCGTAGAAGAACTTTCAATTTTGAATTCGGAAATTGACGAAGTATTGAGTTTTGCGTTAGATTTGCCAGAGTTTAGAACAGATGTGCCAAATTCGAAAGGTCAGTCGTTGGCGCATTATGCATGTGAAAACAATCTAACTAAGACGTTACGTTCATTAATTCTCAGAGAAGCAAACATGAATGATCGGGATAGGAACGGAAAACGTCCTATAGATCTTGCACGTCAAAAAGGGTATTCAGATTGTTTAAAACACATAGCACAAATTGACGTTTTGGATAAAGCCGGTCGGTTGCCGCTTCATTACGCTTGTGAGGATGGAGATTTAGGTGTGACAGAAATACTTTTAACGAATGGTGCGAAAGTTGACATTCCGGATAGAGATGGACGACTGCCGATACATTATGCTTGTAAACACGGAAGGTTAAACCTAGTAGAATTACTGGTAACGAACGGTGCGAAATTTGATGTTCCGGACAGAGGTGGTCAGCTACCGATGCACTATGCGTTCAGAAATAATCTGTGGGGATGTGATATAATTTTATTTTTGTGTAAAAAAGGTGCGAAAGTGGATGTTCCGGATGGAAAAGGACGGCTGCCGATAAATTATGCTTGTGAACACGGAGATTTAAACATGGTAGAATTACTGGCAAGGAATGGAGCGAAATTTGATGTTCCGGACAGAGGTGGTCAGCTACCGATGCACTATGCGTGCAGAAATGATCGGTGGGGATGTTATATAATTTTATTTTTGTGTAAAAAAGGTGCGAAAGTGGATGTTCCGGATGGAGATGGACAACTGCCGATACATTATGCTTGTAATCACGGAACATTACCCCTGGTAGAATTACTGGTAACGAACGGTGCGAAATTTGATGTTCCGGACGGAGGTGGTCAGCTACCGATGCACCATGCGTTCAGAAATGATCGGTGGGGATGTGATATAATTTTATTTTTGTATAAAAAAGGTTCGAAAGTGGATGTTCCGGATGGAGATGGACAACTGCCGATACATTATGCTTGTAAACACGGAACATTAAACCTGGTAGAATTACTGGTAACGAACGGTGCGAAATTTGATGTTCCGGACAGAGGTGGTCAGCTACCGATGCACCATGCGTGCAGAAATGTGTGGGAGGCACGTGATATAATTTTATTTTTGTGTAGAAAGGGTGCGAAAGTGGATGTTCCGGATGGAAATGGACAACTGCCGATACATTATGCTTGTGAACACGGAACATCAAACCTGGTAGAATTACTGGTAACGAACGGAGCCAAATTTGATGTTCCGGACAACGGTAGTCAGCTACCGATGCACTATGCGTGCAGAAATGTTCGGTGGGGATGTGATATAATTTTATTATTGTGTAAAAAAGGTGCGAAAGTGGATGTTCCGGATGGAGATGGACAACTGCCGATACATTATGCTTGTAAACACGGAACATTAAACCTGGTAGAATTACTGGTAACGAACGGAGCGAAATTTGATGTTCCAGACAGAGGTGGTCAGCTACCGATGCACTATGCGTGCAGAAATATTCGGAGGGGATGTGATATAATTTTATTTTTGTGTAAAAAAGGTGCGAAAGTGGATGTTCCGGATGGAGATGGAAAACTGCCGATACATTATGCTTGTGAACACGGAACATTAAACCTGGTAGAATTACTGGTAACGAACGGAGCGAAATTTGATGTTCCGGACAGAGGTGGTCAGCTACCGATGCACTATGCGTGCAGTAATGTTCGGTGGAGATGTGATATAGTTTTATTTTTGCAAGATAAATTTCTAAAGTGAATGTTCCGGATGGAGATGGACGGCTGCCGATACATTATAGTTGTGAACACGGAACTTTAAGAACATTGAAATTATTAGTATCGAATGGTGCGAAAGTGAATATTCTGGATCACAGTGGCAAACTGCCGATCGACTACGCGCAGAAAAACCGAAACTTTGACAGTAACATGAGGAATTTTTTGTTAAAAAACACGAAATCTAAAATTCTCGAAACAATTACCGATAAAGGAGTTCTGATAAAATTTTTTGATGGATATCGTGTAGTACTTTTGTTACGTAGGTATATGAATATGCGTGATTCTATTTCATTTGACATGTCCATCCGTCCAGTTACTATACTATTTTATACTTAGTAATCGTTTTCATTTAAATACGACGCAACCTAACGATGAAGTCCTTTCTCCTTATTAGTTTCACTTCCATGCACACGCAAATAAGCAATAAAACTTTTTGCCTATAATACACTAGTTACAAAATTTTCTTCTTTTTATGTCCGATGATCGAAACAGAGAGCTCCGAAATATTTTAGTTTCTGTGATATTTTTAATTAACATGTATTAGGACCAAATTACTTATAAATAAATCAAAATCTATTAAAGCCAACGATGTTATTATATGCGAAAAATTTGCCAAACTGCCATTATCATAGATTTAAAATGACGCGATTCCTTTGAAAGGACATTTTGGAGATCATAAAACACAGCGTAGAAAATGAGTTTACTTGCTAAGGCAATTTAAAAATATTAAATTTTAAGGCATTGAATTTATTGTTTTTAAGATTTATCACGGTTATTATAGTGCATCGTAGTAAAGGACCTTAACCAATCAAGTAAAATGAACATATAGATCAAGATTAAATTTGTCATTAATTTATTAGGTGTGAATATGCAGAAAATATATATAGATATAGAAATCATTAACGTTCAAATCCAATTCAAAAATTTATAGAGGAATGACCTGATATTTCAGTGTTTTGCGACACAGTTATGTGGGATCTAATTATTTTTAGACCGTTAAATAATAATAACAAATTAATATTTTAACTATAAACGTACAAAATTTGTCAAAGATTGAAATTTTCACCGTTTTCTTTAAGTTGATATACAGGGTGTCTCAGAAATAAGTACATTAATTTTAATCAGTTATAGAGCTCATTGAACTCAACAACTTTTCTTAGTAGAGTTTTGTCAAGAACTTTTTAATTATCAAGTTAAAAATTGTTAAAGTTATACCCCAATTAAGGTTATCCGCCCATGCATCCTCAGTTACCCATGGACACTAATAATTATTATAATTAATAATTTATGGTCAAAAACAGTTACTAGGATACGTATTTTCCTAATCTTGTCAATGTGACAAACATTTAGAGAGAAATTGAAAATCCTGCTCCCTAATGGCGTACGGAATTTCAACGGCCCAAATGTGGGTGTTGAACATCTTCCCTCGTGTAACCGACCTTATCAGTTGATGGTATAAGAGATACAAAATTTGCTTGTTCGTTTATTTTTCTATTAACCCACTCACAAAAGTTTTGCCTACGTGGTAAGTCTGTTAGTTTCAATAACTGAACTTTCTGGTCCTGAAAGGGGTACATTTGTTCTCTGAGTATCCTACAAATACTACTCTCCGATACATCACACTAGACAATGATACGTGCTAGTGCCCGGTCGAGCTTCGACACTCTTCAAAACAGTCTCTTCAATATTAGCAATTCTATTACTACGTAACTTACCCCGATCCTGAGGTGCAGGTTTAAAAGATCCGTACTCTCGAAAATGCTGCAACGTTCTTAAAACTGCGCACATTTGGCAGACGATTTGGGAGGTTTTCTGAAAAAATTCCTTGGGCGCGAGTGCCGTTTCCCCGAGCTTCACCGTACGTTAAAACGATATCGGTGCATTCCAGATTTGAAAACAAAGCCATTTCAACACATTTCGTCTATAAATTAGAAGTCTGTGCCAAACAAACTTTAAAGAGACAACGTTTAATAAAAACATTGACATAAAAATGATTGTCAGTGTCAAAACGGTTGCTACGGTACGTTCTTCATTGTTGTAGTGTTGCTATTATTTAAGTTATTATTTAAGGTGAACATAGACGGCTCGTGAATATATGGGTGGGAAAATTCGAAATTCGACTTGAGTTTTCGAAAAAATGCTAGATAAAAAAGTTGTTCCGTTTCACGGGTTCTGCTACTGGTTAAAATTAATGTACTTATTTCTGAGACATCCTGTATATACCGATCGGTTTGAGGAATTCTTAAATTTTTAACTCTCTGGAAATAGTCTGTGATATCTGTCATAAATGTTATATATTTTAGTATAATTGGAGTCCATCCATGTTAACACGCCTAAGTTTATTTATTTACGTATTATACAGGGTATTTTTGAAATAGATGGAAACTTTTTTTAAGGTAATTGGTCATGATGTAGAGAATTTATGCATCAAATATTGATCTAATAAAAATCCTTTAGTTTTCGAGATAAAATTGATTGAAAATCTGTTAAAATTTGCGTGTGCGCTACTGATTCCAAAAATGTTAAAGGTAAATTTGATCACTATAGTAATTTAAAGTAGGTAAAATTGTTGCTTGTTAACATGACAATACATTCATTAGCCCATCATTTTTTGACGTTTTTGCAATTTTTTGGAACAACAAAATGAATTTTTCTAATTCTGAAATGACTGACATGGTTCTGATGTATGGACAAGTCTTAGGAAACTCCTTGGAAGCTCGACGTTTATACCAAGAAGCATTTCCCGAACGAAGATTGCCAAATCATAAAACATTTGCTAACGTTGTTCAGCGTCTACGAGAAAATGGGAAATTTCAACCTCGTTTTAGTGATCGTGGCCGTGAAAGGACAGAACGGACACTTGATGCCGAAGAAGAAATTTTGAATGTCGTTGAAAACGATCCAGGTATAAGCATTAGACGATTGTCTTACCGAGTGGGAGTTTCATTTGAATGCGTGCGATTTCTTTTTATGGGGTCACATGAAAGAGTTGGTTTACCGAACACCAGTAAATTCTGTTGAGGAACTTTGGGACAGAATAACAAATGTAGCTGCTGAAATTAGAGCACATCCCGAAATGATAACCAGAACCCAACAGTCATTGATTAGACGTGCGGAAGCGTGTATACGAAATGGTGGTGGACATTTTGAAAATTTGCTCTAGTTGCATACGTTACGTTTTGTTTCATTTTATGGTTGATTAAATTATGATTTTGAAGTTTTAATTGTCAGTTCATTAATTATTGTCATTGTTTATTTGTTGCTAGCAATAAATTAATAGCAACAGTAGTTACACCTCGGCAGTTTTCAGTTACTAGGTTTCACATTTTTTCGTGAAACCATTATTTATCAGTGGAGGAATGAATGTTTGGATAGGGGTTAAATTTTCCTTTCAAAATTTTACTAAAACAACAAACGTTCATTTGACTTCTTAGGTTCCCTACATTCACCAGATTTTTTGTTTTCATGTATTTCAATAACACCCTGTATACATTAAAATTATCGGGTGTCTAATTGAACCCTGGTTAGTGAGCTGCTTCCCACTTTATCGTTTTTTCCGTATGTCGTATAGTGTTTGTCATTGTGTTGGAGACAGTTGTCATTTCGCTGTCAGAGTTAATTAAAAAATTATTAATTCACAAAAGTCGGTGTGACAACGAATGACAGCTGCTAACATGACAGTCTTGACCAAGTTTTCATTTAGATACCCGATATTTTATGGCAAATAGTTAAGGTGTAGCGTAAAATGTACTGTCACGCCCTGTGACCATACAGATTGTTTTGTAATAAAACCATGTATTTGTTACATTAAAATATACCAACTAAACTGTGATAATAAATGCAATTCTTTTTGATGTGGGCTATTATTACACCAATGACAAGATTCTTCAAGGAATCCACAAAACAGCGACCATTCTTTTAAATTGGACGCGGTAAGTGGACATTTATATTTGGGATATTTAAAGTTATACCTTTCTTAATAATATAGTATGTACCGCCCAATTCTTCTTTTCCAATGTATTTTTATTAAAGAACTATTTTTACTAATATTAATCGTTTACAGGCAAAAGATGCTGTTTTATATGCGTTACGGATGTAATGAAGACAAAAGAACCGTATTTGTAAAAATTCATGTAATTTAATTTTTAGTTTAAATTTATTATAACTTTAAGAGAACAAATACTACGTGCACACTTAGTATCCATGTTTTCGACAGTGTGCTTAAAAAATTAGTAAGTATTAAATAAATAATCAGACGAGAAAGAGAAAGCTCCCGACATAGCAACTAGTCTTGTCACTTAGAAGAGTAGATTGCGTCGATAAGAACTTTAAACCTTTAATGCATTATGGTTCGGTTCCAAAATTGCTGTTATATTAGAATTCGTAAACATTTATTAAGTATCATCTTCAAAATAGTACAACAAACAACAATAATATATAAATATAAATATAAATCATTTCTTCTAGACTACACCTTATAACAGTAACTTTTTCTAGAATAAATACATTAAGAAAAAATCCAACATCAAAATCTTCAAAAACGACTAAATGAGCAAATCAACGAACACAGGGAAGTACTTCTAAAACACTTTGGCAACATTTATATAGAGGTCGTGTTCTATATTCTTAAATCTTATACATTGGTGCTTTTTGACACAGTTGGAAGATAATATTGAGGTCAATTCGTGTTACACACTAGTTTTTTTTTTTTTTTGTTCTCAGGGTACAAAAATGAATACAAATTGACTACGAATATTCCTGTCATCAGTCTTGAGGTGATATTAAACCAAATAAGTGATATTATATACCCTGCCTTTATGAATAGAATACTTATTGCCTTACTCAGTTTGTTTCAGACTTATCTACTGTTACATATAAAGGTTTGTACAGTACAATAGGCTCCCTAATGTGGTGTTCATTTCCATCGTAGACTTGTCCGAGGAGGAATTCTGGTCCGATGTATTGACCGCCTTCGACGTGGGAACACGCATGTTCTGCAAAGGACCGTAAATCAACAATAAATTATCCAAAAACCTACCGATTTCAGATGAATTTTCATAATTTTAAAATTAAACTTCTTGATTTTTTAACACGAAAACTATTCAAATATAATATAACCAAACTCTACTGATTCTAACAATGTAACTTTTGCTATACCAGCGTTTTTAAATTTCTAGCAAAAAAATCTTTCTTTGTGATATGATATAATAATTTTGAGAAAAATCATCAAGATAATGTCTGGAATTTTTGAAGATAAAGACGAAAACAAAGTTTTTGTACCCTCAGAAGTTCTGGACGAAAGTTTGGAAACTATCAATTAAGTGGTGCCAGCAAAATCCAAGCATTCGTATGAAAAAGAATATACGAATTTTTGTGAATGGAGGAAGCGAAATCATGCGAAAGGAGTGGACGAAAGAATAATTTTGCCTTATATTTCGGAATGGTCTAAAAATGCAAAATCTTCGTCAGGATGGTAGTATTATTCCCAACTGCAGAAAATGTTATCTGTGAAAGAAAATATTGATATAAGCAGATTTGTGACATCGCAACGGTTATTATTTATGAGGTTTTAAACTATTAATTGTTATAGATTTCATCAAGTATCGGCTTTCCTAAAATAACAGTCTGTAGGGCACAGACCAAAGAAATCCAAGATGTTCACGCTCGATGAAATGGAAATGTTCTTAGATAATCCTTCTGATGATGAATATTTAATACAAAAAGTAATTTTTATCGTAGCATTGGTGAATTGGTGGCCGAAGAATACACGGCTCATAGTTTTAGGTGTTCGAGTGCAACTCTACCAGCAGACTCTGTGGCAGTTTCAACAGTTGTAAAGTGACACGTGACACGGTGGCTGGCGGTCGAATAGTGTTGTGGAAGAATACATAGAAGATTCTCTGAACATGAAATCGAAATTTTGAGAAGAATCATCAAGCAATCCTCAAAATCGTTAATAATAGATCTGTCTTGAATTGTAACTTTTATATTTCAGACTACAAAGATAAAAACTAATTCACTGTTAATATTTCTGTAGAGGAAATAAAAATCTGTTCTTGTTTGAAATTTTTTAATTCACTAAACGCTTTGATTTCACTAGTGAATCATGAACAGCTTATGAAGGTTACTGTGGAGTTAATAATAACTATTTAACGAATAAATTTGTTAATAAAGGCGATTAATAATTGAGTTAGTTACAATACTGTGATAACCCAAACTTCCCGCCTTTAAATTGACCTTGAAAAAGTTTAAAAGGCCCGCGAAAAATTTAAAAATTCAAAGTTTGGCCTTGGCTGTGATCGTCTAACAAATAGGAACCTACGTTGTGTGTGTTTTTTTTTTTTTTGAAAAATGGTGGGAAGACGTTCTTTCATACAAGTGCATACCCTGTCGAGAGCGCAAGAAATAATAGACAAAATTGTTTTGGAGGGGGGAATACGGCACCCCCCTCACAGGAGGAAAGACGCTGCAAAGATTTACTCCTCAACGCAAAAACCCCCTTTTTGTTTTATTCCCGGACATATTACATTTCAAACACCTTAAGATATATGAAAGAAAAACACTCGCGAATTGACAGACATACACATATGAAAAACGAACAAACGGAAAATACTATACATCTGTTTGAAATCAATGCAAATATTTGAATATCACAAATTTAATAAAACAAAGCAAGCTAAATCAGGTAATTGGATGCAAATACACAAGTTATTACAAGCGTGTGGCGGTCGAACAAAATATATATCAATTTCATTTACGAGCACAACAAGATACCCAGAGGGGGCGTCGTAGCGTGAGCGAAGTTTGGAGCTCCCGGTCTGGGCTGGTTTCCCCCGCGACGGTGATTCTATCTACACCAAGCCTGCCGCACAGCACCCTCCATGACGAACATGTCGTCCTAGCAGGCAGTTTCGGCCGAAAAACTAGAGGTGAAGTCCGGTCGACAACTACCTCGTCGTCCAGACCGTTCCCACTGAAATCTGATTCAAAGCCTGCACATCTTGTGCAGATAGCGCGATACATTCCGCTACCTCAACTAGGAACCGCGCCCATCGCCGACACTACGTGTCACTGTGTTATTTACCTTCAATTCTATTTAAATGTTCGAACTCTATGACTCTAATATTAAATTACAACCTAACAAGTGTTAAAGTTTCAAAGAGCAATAAACAACATTTAAATTCCCCATACAATCTTGTGAAATTTTAAACAACAAATAATTCTTATGTGAGATTAAAGTTGGACATCAAATAATTTATATGATAGAAACATTCATCAACAAAGTATTTACAAAACAAAACTTAGCGAGGATTTATGCAACAAAAGATCTGGTGTGAAATAAACTTGTGCAAATAAAATATTATGTTACGTTAAAAACTGTCGAACAGGAAATTTACGTTCCATTAAAATTATACAACAAATACAATTACTGAGGTTAAAATTGTTTAAATTAAAGAAAAATTGTATGAGGCGAAAATTTGCAGAGTTAACAATATTTACAAGGGATTAATATTTGCCACACTATCAACGGTTCAAACAAAGAGTTTACATTATGCCAAATTATATCATGATCTAATTGATTGGTTACTTCAAAAATAATTTACTTTGAGAGTTTAAAATACTATGAACTGGTTACCCCAACAAAACACATAATAAACAAACACAAAAATATCCAATCATCGCCCCGAGGAAAAAGCGTCTCGGTGATGTAAATTTTCTGTAGCGTTGGGAGGCATGCCTTGATAAATTAATCAATCTGTCGTTGTGAAGCATGCCCCGATGAATTAATCGTGATAACGATGATAACCACCTAAGGGGAGAAAATATCATAACCCCCCCAGCCAATTCGCAGTATAATGAACATGTTTAACTGCCGTAAATGAACTATTAGCAATCTTGTGTGAAGAATTTAGAAGTGTTATAATGTTACACTTACGTATATGCATCCAGAGACCTATTCGTAATTAAACATAAGGCGTTTTTCCCGACTAATTGAATTTCATGAAATCTTCTAGCAAATGATTTATTTAAATAATCCTGATTGTTAAATTGTGTTTGCTCTAGCTGAGTATTAAGAAAAACTAGCTTGATTGGTGAATTTACAAACAATGAAACAAATTTACAACACGTGGTTTTTCGCGTCGACCGGAAGTCTCCAATTTTTGATTAAAAGGGCGCAAGAATTAACCGCGCGGCTTGGGGACAACTGTATCATTATGAAAAATACGTTTGATTGTCGTTAAACAAAGGCTTCCTCCCATTTTATTAACTACCAACCCAACTAATTTAAACCTAGCGCTTACCACGTTGTTACACTCACACCGCCACATTCATAATTGCTCGATTCTACGCCATGCAGTTTTTCTCTACCAACCCTCTAACTGAAATCACCCTAGCGCTACGTGCTGCCATCTAACCCAATGATCATGCATTAACCCAGCCATGTCTATTTGGTTGCCTATGTTTAACGATTCCCTTTTTCGTGATTGAATTTTTTTTTTTTTTTCAAATTCAAATTATTCAAATGTGATTTCGCGCCGCTGTTAATTAATTTCAGCGCGAAAACTTTGATTTAAATTCGGTCACCACAATACTTTTCCGGCGATCGTAATTTTATTAAATTACAGAAAATTCAAACCACAGATTATGGATACCAGATAGTTCACTCAGCTGTCGGCACTTTGAAGTCGGTGTCCCGAGATTTCAAGCGGTATTCACGCTACTACGCACGCTCTATCAAAATTGGTTCGCAAGCTTTGAATTTAAAAGCGCGGCGGTCAGAGAAAAATTACAGCGATGATGCAAGGGATGAGGTTCTAAGTGAAGAAAAAACGAACAAAATACTTATTTGCCTTACACAAAATGATTTATGATTATTACAAATGCTTAACATTTCACAATTTCCTCTGAAAAGAATTGCGGACACATGCATTGGCATTAAAAAATTTTAGAGCATAAAAAACACGTATTCTCGAATATAGTGCTAATAAGAAAGTGGTGTTAAAATTTTTGCATGGCGAATAAACGTAACCTCTTTAACTATACGGCTTAAAGGGTTACCGAAAGTTAGAAGAATTGGAGGGAATAGTTAATGAAATTTGCTGCGCTTGCCTTTCTGAACTTTGTTGTTACAGTTTTCTAATCTACTCGTCTTTATAGTGATCTTCGATTTTTGGTGGTTATTTAAGACTGAAACGAGTTTAAAGGAAAAGAAGGGAAAATGTTTTATTCTCTTATTCATTTACAAAATCAGGCATTATAGACAAGATATATTTACTAAACGATACTATAATACAGTTTAATGCAGGTAGGTATTTATTTAACTAATTTTCTGAGTATTTTAAAACTTTTAAAAAATCCCTTCGTAACCAAAAAACGTAGAAATTAATTCTTGTAATGTTATTTATTCCCTGAATTGTTACCTAAACTTTTATTCTTATATCTGCTTCATTGTAAATGTTATTTTGCGTGTTAATCTGTCAAACCAGTTTCAAAGAGATTTAAAAGTGCTGAACCAATTTTAGTGTCATGCGCACGGAAAATTTGCGGACAGTTACGCCCACAAGTGAACCATCTGGTATCCGTAATCTGTGTTCAAACTATGAGTTATGCAACCAAACATACAAATGAAAAATTATTAGTTCACTAAATTTGGATATGTCCAAATCATGATGGATGCTTAAAGTGGACCGAAGCATACAATACTTTTTTTACTTTTGGAGAATTTCGGCGACAGTTCAGGAGGGACTGGGGGTATATCTGGTTGCCTAAAATCATGCATTAATAAGCCTCTTGCACAGTATAGATATCAACACGAGCTGTCTCTACTGATTGATATCTATACTGTGCGTCTTGCTCTCTTGCTTTTCTAATAAGAAAAGCTTTGATATTTTAAACACATCAAGCTCTCCTACAACTCTCTTTTCAAGTTGTCTTCCTGTATCAATTAGTTCGATTTGGGTTTTCGTAAAGTGAAATTCAAAATTGCAAAAGTGTTTTAAAAATTACTGAAAATTTTAATAGTTAAGAAATCGGTAAGTGTTTGGATAATTGCCAACACCGCCGCGAATTCTCCCATATAAAACGCATTGCCAAGTCAAACCGGAACGGACTTTGGCTTCTCAAAATCTGTACCAGCCACAGGAAAACCAACTTACCGTATCGTATTGTAGGTGAGGTGTTCGTGTTCGGTATCCACAAAGGTACAATCGCTATAGTAATCGGGAAATTGACTTGGGCAACGTCTACGTCTTTATCACTGTCTAGACTTACCTACAACTCGCAAAAGTTACACAGAAACTAACACCTCCGCCATACGTACTGAAAGCACATAATAGATTTGTACTAATCTACAAATTCCAACAAGTGTTGTAGGCATCGGAGGTAAAACAAGGCTATTGGAACCGTCCCATTTGCTACGAGAGTGCAGCTTGACGTTGCTCCCTCTGCAAGCAAACGTCATCAAGTCATCGAAAGGCGTTTCTAATTTGCAGACCACAGTTTATCTTGCAGACTGGGGGTTAAAAATGCTCCAATCAAGTTGAAACTCAACATTTGCTTATTTCTCAATACGAAGATTATTGACACAAAATTTCAACCCGATCGGAGAAACCGTTAAAAACTACCCCCAAAACAACCTTGCAGACTGGCACTTAAAAATACTCTAATCAAGTTAAATTTTGACATTCGCTAGTTTTTCAATACGAAGATTATTGATGCAAAATTTCAGCCCATTCCGAGAAACCCTCAAAAATCATCCCCAAAACAACCTTGCAGACTGGGGGTTAAAAATGATCCAATCAAGTTAAAACTCGATATTTGCTTATTTCTCAATACGAAGATTGTTGATACAAAATTTCAAGCCGTTCGGAGAAACCCTTAACAACCACCCTTAAAACAGATTTGCAGACTGGGGGTTAAAAATGCTCCAATCAAGTTAAAACTCGATATTTGCTTATTTCTCAATACGAAGATTGTTAATACAAAATTTCAACCCGTTCGGAGAAACCGTTAAAAACTACCCCTAAAACAACCTTGCAGACTAGGGCTTAAAAATACTCTAATCAAGTCATAATTTGACATTAATTTATTTTTTTATTATTTTATTGTTAATTATTAATTAATTTATTTATATTTAAATTTAAAAAATATATAAATTACGAATACATATAGGAGTATTTCTTACAGATACGTGAATTGTGATAATTTGAGTTCATGTTTATCGCTGTTAGATAATTGTTGCTACTATGTAAGAATGCATAAGTTGGGCATTTTTTCGTCCAATCTCTCATTTTTTGTGCGTTTTTACACGTCATTTTTGCTGTTAACTTGGTTCATTCAGTACATACTATATGCTGGTTTTGAGTTCTTTGAGATATAATTAAACTTTCATCATCACTCAAAAAATACAAAGTTAGTGGTGTCCAGAAGAGAAAATTTAAAATTCAGAGGAAACAAAATCTTAAAGATATTTTAAAGAAAATTAGAGACATTTTTAATTTCCGAGAAACTTAACGTAAAAAAAAAACGTTTTGAGAAAAAGTTTAAATTAATAATAGGAAGCTCAAACTTAATTTTATTTGAATTTCAAAAAGAACCCAGAAATATGCTAATTTCTTAATTAATTATTATTAATGGGAAAACAGATAAAGATTCGTTATATTCAATACGACGCAAAATTGTCTTCATATGTAGGTCTTACAGCTTTTGGATGGTGTCCACGTCCATTTCTCTAACTGTCTGGTAAATTGTTCTTCTTAATTGTTCTTCTAAATTGGCTTCTCAGCCGTTGTTGTAAACCTTTCTACTTAGTATTCCCCAAATTTTGTTTTCGATTGTTCGCACTGGGGGCACTATGGGAGGATTACCTTTTCTTAGGTACAAAACTTATATTATTGCTTTCTAACCAATCCCTGGACATTCTAGTATAATGGCAACTTGCTAAATTTGGCCAAAATATTACATCGTCGTTATTATGGTGTTCTCATATATTGTTATGTATTGACTGCGTCACTTTTAGTATGGCCAATGAATTGTGCTGAAACGCCGGCCGGAGATATAGCCCATCAAACCAAAATTTTATCTTCAAACTTTGCCTTCGACTTAAATTTTACTTGTAATTTCTTCTATATTGTTTGTATAAAATCCATCGTTACCTTCCATCTCTGAATGGGCAAACGTAAAATATTTTTCATCGCCCAGCACAACCACACGATTGTCCAGAAAATGATGAATTCTCAATAGCCGGCAACATCTAAGAATTCTCTCTAACTGCGATGCTGTATGTTTTGAACATTTAGCTCTTTTGCTGTATTTTAAGTTGTTTTTGCCTATTTCTCTAGAAACTGTTATATAGGAACTCTAAACAATCGAGCCAATCTTCTTGTTGATGTTCCAGGCTCTTGTGTTTCTTCTTAATCTTTCTAAACTTATTGTGATATTGCTACCTCGCAGTCTTTAATTGTTCTGTATATAGTTGCGCGTGTAATATATTTGGTCCAAAATATATTCACAATTTCACTTTTAGATACTTGGGTAACTAACTGGTATATGGCTCTTTGCAACTCTATTTTGTATGACATTGTTTAAGCGTTAATTGGCGTTAATTGACATAAATCTATGACATAAATTGTATAAAATGGGAAATAAGAAAGTTTGTTTGGTTACGCTGTTGCAAATGTAACTTGATTCGATTGCATTTTAAGTTAAAAAAAAGATAGGAGTATATGTAAATTTTTCTCAAAACTCTTTTACGTACTAGCGGTAAAAGTCACATAGAATTGGAAAATCTTAGTAAAAGTAAAGACGACTACAGTTAAGACTAATCTAGTTGAGTGCATGTATTTAGGGAAATTTTAGTTGTATTGATACATTAAATTCTTAGATGGAAATAACGATATAGATGTGAAAATTCAAGAAAAAAAAATATAGAATTTGAGAATATACATGATTTTAATCTTTCCAATGGCACTACATACCTTATTTATAAACTATTGACACATGATGTACAAATTAACAAAAAAAAAGACAAATAATCCCAAAATTTAATTCAATTTAACAAAATAACAGAAACAGACCAACTAGGATATTTTCTTAATTAAAATAATAAAGGAGGCTGTTGTTGTAAACAGTGTTTTTCATCATTTGATTATAAGTTTGGCAGTTAATAAACGTTTTCACGTTAACTCTTACAGACGTCTCCCAAATTGTCGCTCTGTTTCTGTTATTTTGTTAAATTAAATTTAATTCTGCGTTTATTTGTCTTCTTTTTTGTTGCTAATTTATACATCATGTGTCAACAGTGAATGGTCCTTTAATAAAATAACGATCACTAGTTAAATTAACAATTTCTAAAGTTTGGTTTTGCGAAATTTTACAGCGTGGCAGGTTTTTTGCCGGTCAGTGTATATACATTAAAATACAGTTATAAAAGGTAACAAAACAATATTTTTCATAATTAACAATGCATATTAAGATCATTAGGTGATTAATTATTGTAGGAATTAGCTCGGTTTGCGCAAAGGTGGAGATAACACAACGACCGTAGCAACGAATCTTAACCAATTAAAAACTCAAGTAAATTTGCTGCTGCTGCTTTTATATGCTTTCTTATGAAATTATTTTTGTTTTATGCCTAGTATCCCGCAAACGCTTTCGAGCACGCCACTGGAACAACCAGTTTCTCGGAGGACCTGGAAGAACCATTTATGACCCTAGTAGAAAGCGCGGTACCAGGCATTTTTTCAATCAATCTTCCCTCCTCTCATTCTACCTCTATGGTGCGCACTTACTTTAGACATTATGTACTGTCTCTTTACATGTGTCTGAAATTTTTCTGCTACTTGTACTTTAAATGAATGTCAACTATCAATCATTTAATTTATAAGTTGCTTCAAGGTGACTAAAATTTGACATGATAATTTTTTGTGTAAAGAACTCAGCAAGTGGTAACTTTCGACTCAATTGGAGTATTTTTAAGCTCCCGTATGAAAGATTGCTTTGGGGTACTTGTTAAGAGCAGCTTAAAAAAGACTGTTTTTTTTGCATTATCACTTCTCGTATAGATAAAAACTAAACACCAAGTTTCGATTTGGTAATAATATTTTTAAGGCCCAGTCTTCAAGGTTGTTTTGGGGGTAGCTTTTAACGGTTTCTCCAAACGGGTTGAAAATTTGCATCAACAATCTTCGTATTGAGAAATAAGCAAATCACGAGTTTTGACTTGATTGAAGTATTTTTTACCCCCAGTCTGCAAATCTGTCTGGGGGTAGTTTTTAAGGGTCTTTGCGAACGGGTTAAAATTTTGTGCCAACAATCTTCGTGTTGAGAAATAAGCAAATGTCGAGTTTTGACTTGATTGGAGTATTTTTAATCCCCAGCCTGCAAGGTTGTTTTGGGGGTGATTCTTGAGGGTTTCTTGAAATAGGCTGAGATTTCGTATCGATAATTCCCATATTGATAAACTAGCGAATATAAAATTTTGACTTGATTGGAGCATTTTTAATCCCCAGTCTGCAAGGTTGTTTTGGGGGTGATTTTTGAGCGTTTTTTCGAATAGGCTGAAATTTTGTATCAACAATCTTCGTATTGAGAAATTAAGAAATATCGAGTTCCGACTTGATTGGAGCATTTTTCACCCCCAGTCTGCAAGGTTGTTTTGGGGGTGATTTTTAAGGGTTTCCCCGAACGGCTTGAAATTTTGTATCAACAATCTTTGTATTGATAAATAAGCGACTGTCGAGTTTTGCTTTGATTGAAGCATTTTTAATCCCCAGTCTGCAAGGTTGTTTTGGGGGAGATTTTTGAGGGTTTTTTCGAATAGGCTGAAATTTTGTATCGATAATCCTTATATTGAGAAACTAGCGAATATTAAATTTTGACTTGATTGGAGCATTTTTAATCCCCAGTCTGCAAGGTTGTTTTGGGGGTGATTTTTGAGGGTTTCTTCAAATAGGCTGAGATTTTGTATCGATAATCCCCATATTGATAAACTAGCGAATATAAAATTTTGACTTGATTGGAGCATTTTTAAGCCCCAGTCTGCAAGGTTGTTTTGGGGGTAGTTTTCAACGATTTCTCCGAACGGGTTGAAATTTTGTATCAACAATCTTCGTATTGAGAAATTAGGAAATATCGAGTTTTGACTTGATTGGAGCATTTTTAACCCCCAGTCTGCAAGGTTGTTTTGGGGGTGATTTTTAAGGGTTTCTCCGAACGGCTTGAAATTTTGTATCAACAATCTTTGTATTGAGAAATAAGCGATTGTCGAGTTTTGACTTGATTGGAGTATTTTTAAGCCCCAGTCTGCAAGGTTGTTTTGGGGGTGGTTTTTAAGGGTTTCTCCGAACGGGTTGAAATTTTGTACCAACAATCTTCGTATTGGGAAATAAGCAAATGTCAAGTTTTGACTTGATTGCAGCATTTTTAACCCCCAGTCTGCAAGATAAACTGTGGTCTGCATATTAGACAGGCCCGTCATCGAAGCCCGACTTCGAAATACCTGTATTCGAAGACGTGGTGCTTCAGGTCCTTGCTCACGCCCAGGACTCCTCGGTCGATGACGAACTCGCAACACTCTTCCACTTCGCTTTGATTGTCGATTGTCGCTTTTAGCTTTACGCTTTCTTTGCAGACGTTGGCCGAGCGTTCGAGAACACAGCGGAGGCTGACGGTGCCTTTTTTGCAGCAGCAGCAAGCGGTACTTTTTCGGTTTTCGTAGATGAAAAACTAACATAAAAAATTTGTAAAATTTGAAAAATTGCAAATTGAGAAATTGGAACGATAATTGAAAATTTCGGCAGTCAACCAATTGAAAAATTGAAAAATACGAAAAATTGTGATATCAAAAAATTGATAGAATATTATAAATCTAGATTTTTTGAAACGTTATAAGATTTAAATCGAAAACCTAAAAATTCAGAAAAAATTGAAAAATTGTTTTTTTTTTCAGTTTTTCCCGAATTTTTAGTTTTTCGATTTTTCAATTTCTCGATTTTTCAGTTTTTCGATTTATCGATTTCACGATCTTCGAATAAAAAAATGGGAAAACTGCACAATTATAAAACTGAAAAAGCAAAAATGAAAAAACGAAAACTTTGAAAAATTTAAAAATTAGAAATCAAGAACTTGAAAACTAAAAGAAACGGAAATTCAAAAATGGAATGAATAAAAATTGTAAAACTTAAATCGAAAAAACGAAATATGTATTGTAAAATCGATACATATATTGAAAATGAAAGAAATCGAAAACTTGCATAACTGGAAATTCAAAAATTGCAAAATCGAAAAATTTAAAAATTGGAAAATCGAGGAATACAATCGAAAGAAACATTGAAAAAATAAAGGAAATTAAAAAGCGAATAATTGTGATATAACATCAAAACAATGAAAATTAAAAAATCGGGAAAAAGAAAATAAAAATCGAAGACCTGAAAAAGTCATGGAATTGAAAAACTGAAAAATCAAAAAATTAAAAATTAAGAAACTGGAAAGTCAAAAAATGAGAAATTGTAATATCGAAAAATTACAAATCGAGAAATTCAGGAAACGATAAGGTAATTGAAAAATTTGGATGTCAAGAAATTGAAAAAATTAAAAGTTGAAAAACGAAAAACTGTGATATGAAAAAAATTGGTCGAAGATAAATAAATTCAGATTTTTCCACAAATTTTAAGATTTGATTTTTATGACAGTACATAAGTTAATATAAAGATATATACGTAATGTTAAAGTAAATATATACAAAGAAGCGTGCTACGTGTTTGTTTCTTATCTGTCCAATAAAAATCCGTACAGACGGCAGACAGACAGACAGACAGACGGACAGACGAAAAGGGGAGACCTATTTCTTCGTACTCTGCGGGTCATGTAAAGTCGAGAAACCACAAGAGTATGGTATAAAGCCCTTTGGCCAGATTTTCCCTCACCTTGAAGTTCAGTCCAAAAAATACAATTTTTTAGATAAATTATAAAACTTTATTTTGCGAATTTATTTAATAAGAAATAAAAATCATTTTGTGCAATTAAAAAACTGTTGAATTAAATTAAAGAATGTCTTTATTTTCAGATTTCAAATACACAGCCCTCCACGAACGCTGACAACAGCTACAAATGCCACTACCTAGCAAACTTAATTTTTAAACTCCTGGGGGATGACCCAGAGTTGAGTCACAAATGACAACGAAGCCAAATTTACTCACAACTTGTTTGGTGAATATTTTGCCGCTTTGTACTTATTCGAAAATGAAACTTTTAAAGCACGCCACAAAAAATTAGTTGTGGGCGGTCGTTATAACAATATTCGATTTTTTTTTGATTTGATGTTAGCCAGAAATTCAAAATGTTTAGACCTGATTTATAGAAAGCGAAGTTAAAGTTAATTCGCGATTAACTTTTAATTGAGGTCCGTTGCGAGGCAACGCGCATATTTTAACCAATCACAGGTTCATATTCCACATTTTAATTCTCTGTTAAACTAATCGAGGATTAAATATTTAACTCGCTGTTCTATAAACCGGCCCTTAGTAGCCGTAATACACAGGAATCTGCAATTCTGGAAGGGTGTACAAATAAAGATTTAAGTTAGAAAGATGTCATCGGGCGTATGTTTTGAAAGTGGCTTGTGCCTAGACTAAGACTTTTCCAATTGCAGTGGAAAGAACTCTAATTTTAAATATCAACACGTTGGATAATAAAGATATGAATTATCGTGAAGAACGCATAAGATTTTCTAAGTTTGATCGTTCGCTTCATGTTTTCAGAAGTTGATGATTTTCTTCCCATTTCTTATACCTTTCTTCGACGAGAATGAGTTTACTGAAGAGTATTCACCCACCGTCTTGTACTACGCAATCCGGTTTGATTTTCTCATTATTTTCGAGTGCTTGGACATGTCTCCTTCGCTCAAAAGTGCATTGAACAAGTTAAATCCAGGGACACTCTAGCTCTAGCGCACTACAACAGATCGAGACGAATTTAACAGAAACTCTCTTCCGAACAACGAGACTTTTTTGAGTGGGATTTTTTGGACTCGGAGATTGATGAAATATTTGTTTTTGTGTTACAGCTGCCGGAAATTAAGATAGAGGTTCCGAATTCGAGAGGTCAGTCTTTGGTACACTATGGGTGTGAGAAAAATTTGCCCAAAACGTTGCGTTTGTTAATTCTGAGAGATGCCAAACTGCATGTTCCGGATAAAAGGGGTAGAGTTCCCATGTGTATTGCGTATGATAATGGTCACTGGGATGTATTAAAACTGCTGGTAGCGAATGTTACAAAAATCGATTTTCGGGATGATAATGGTCGGCTGCCCATGCACCATGCATGCGATAGGGGAGATTTGGATACAATGCAGCTTTTGGTGTCGAATGGTATCAAAGTGAATTTTTCGGACGGAGATGGTCTGCAGCCAATTCATTATGCATGTGACGTAGGAAAATTTCCAAGGATGAATGGTGATAAAGAAGTATCAAATATGGTACGATTCCTGTTAGACCATGTTGCGAATGTGAATGTTCTGGGTCGAAATGGTCAGTTACCCATTCACTATACTTGTCAGAATGGATACTTAGATACAACGAAATCACTCATAGTGAATGGTGCCAAAGTCAATCATCCAGATGAAAATGGTCGATTACCCATTCATCATGCTTGTGAAAACGAACATCTAGATCTAGTAGAACTGTTGCTACGAACTGGTGCCAGATTGGATGTTCCTGATAAGGATGGTCGGCTGCCAATTCACTACGCGTGTGAAAAAGGACACTGTGACATAGTAGATTTACTGATAACGAGTGGTGCAAAAGAAGTTGTTCCAGATGGAGATGGTCGACTGCCCATCCACTACGGTTGCGCACAAGAACTAGATCTAGTAGAATTGTTGATTAGAAATGGTGTGAATGTGAATGTTCCTGATAAATCTAGACGACGTCCAATTCATTATGCGTGCGAAAAAGGACATTCTCCTGTAGTAAATTTACTGATCAAAAGTGGTGCAAAAGAAAATGTTCCAGATGGAGATGGTCGTCTGCCCATACACTACGCTTGCGAAAAAGAACTAGATCTAGTAGAATTGTTGATAAAGAATGGTGCGAAAATGGATGTTCCTGACAAGGATGGTCGGCTGCCAATTCACTACGCTTGCGAAAAAGAACATCAAGGTATATTAAAACTGTTGATAAATAACGGTGCGAAAATAGATGTTCCTGATAAATATGGCCGACTGCCAATTCACTGTGTTTGTGCAACAGAACATCTAGATCTAGTAGAACTGTTGATAAAGAATGGTGCGAAAGTGGATGTTCCTGATAAAAATGGCCGACTGCCAATTCATTATGCGTGCGAAAAAGGGCACTCTGTTGTGGTCGATTTGTTGATAAAGAGTGACGTAAAGCTAGATGTTTCCGATGGAAGTGGTCGGCGTCCTATACATTATGCGTGTGAAAATAGTCATTCGAATGTTGTAAAAATACTAGTGGAGAATTCTGCAAAGTTGGAAGTTACCGATCAAAAACGTCGGCTGCCAATTCATTATGCGTCTGGAAATAACTACTTGGATCCACTAAAACTACTGATGACCCATTCCGTGAAAATGGATGCACCCGATGAAGATGGACGTCTGCCCATTCATTATGCGTGCGAAAAAGGGTATTTATTAACAACAAGTTTACTCAAAACATCTGATGCCGAACTCGATGTTGTGGATAAAAGTCATCGGCGGCCGATTCATTATGCGTGTCAGAGTGGGTATTTAGGTGTAGTCAAACTGCTGATAGCTAGTGGTGTAGCGCTGGTGTTCCTGATGATAATGGTTGGCTGCCGATTCATTATGCGTGCGAAGTCGGCCATTTAGATACAATAAAGTTACTGATAACGAGTGGTTCGGAAGTGAATGTTCCTGATGGAGATGGTCGTTTGCCCATTGAACACGCCCGAGATAAAAGGACATCTGGATTGTGTGAATTTACTTGGAGAAAATGGTGCGAAATCGGCGTAATCCACCAGTTTTCCACCAAAATTCAAATTCAGACGCATTTTGTTCACGACTTATTAGCGTGTTTCTTATCAACGAAAATGACGGAATGTGTATTTATAGCAATAGTTGAGTTTCTTTTCGTTACAAAACAATAGAATTTTTGGAAATCAGATCTTAAGATTATGACGTAACAATATTGTGTTGATTAAAAATAAGGTCAACAAAATCTTAAGATAATAAATTTGTTAATAACTACGAACTAAGTAGTCGACGTAATCTAGCAGTTGTTTGTAAATGCCACCCTAACAGTCTTCCACCAAAATTCAAATTCAGACTAATTTTGTTTGTTTTGTGTTTCTTTTACCAGCGAAAATGACGGGATACGTATTTATAATAGTACTTGAGTCGCTTATCGCTACAAAGCAATTGAATTTTGGAAATTAGATCGATTGGATTGTGTGTGTGTTGTAAATAATATTGTGCAAAAAAATAAAATCAACAAATAATTTAAGATAATAAATTTGCTAATATAAACGAACTAAATTTAATTTTTACGTTTTTCCTGTAAATAATGTCCTACACATTGAGTAAATACGTATGATGGTCCACTGTGCTATGCATTTAATTGAAGCATATTGGTTTTATTCATTCAAATACAAAACTTGAGTTGGTTGTGACGGCCTTGAGAGTTTTATAATTTAATTTATTTTACGACTAGAATGTTTTTATTTAAATTTTCTGCCAAATCTCGCATTGGGTGACTTTTGCAGAACCATTTTGGTTTCTGTTGTTTCTTTAGTTAAGTTGTTACCTCTACTCTTTTTTTGGTTTTTCATTGTTACGTTTTTCAAAAAATCACTTTTCGCTGAATTTTGTCTTGTTCATTTTTTAAATTCAATTCGTTTTTTTAACATTTGACTCTTTTGTTTGCATTTTCAAATAAATTTTATTTAAAGATTTGATGTACAAGGGATTTAGTACACCATATCGGAATAATTCATTAAAACAGTTGACTTAAATCACAAACAAGTTAAGAGTATAAATAAGACAATTTTGGTGTCAAACTATAATTTTCAGAAAACATTTTTGCAAATGTAAATATTTAACGATATGCCTATAGGTGATGAAAAAATTACGCACTAACCCAACGCACCCTGAGATTAAAGTTCAAGAAACTATATCCCATTTGAATTTGTATATTTCAGAGATAAAATTAAAAATGGCATAGTTTTAAGTAAAATCTAATCTGGTCTATTAGTTTTCCATTGTGTAAATAACCTTGAATAAAAAGCACTTGTCAATGTTTTCAAAAATATATTTTTGTTAAGAGCTACTTAAAAGATAATTTTTTTTTTATAAATACTGATTGCTTTCTAGAGTCTCTGTCAAAAGAGTTTTACGAATAATCAAGTTAACACCTTAATAACAATTACCTAAAACTCTGTCATTTTAGTTGCAAGTTACAACTATTGCATAACGATTACTTTTTATTGTGATTAAACATGGCATCGGTAAGTTATTGCAGAAAATACATTTTATAACAATTTATTTACAATTACATTTATTTATAGACTTCGAAAAGTACAAGTGTCGACGAACGAAGCGAAATACCTGAAAATTCTTCACCGGTAAGTTAGATACTAATGTTAGTTTGTTATTTAAAAGTCGATCAGTCAGCATATACTACGCGATACGTGATAATATAATCGTTGCGTGAATTTGAACTAAAACTAACCCACTTTTGTACAGTATAGTTAGCCACTTTAATGTTAATCGCTCCGACGCGAAGTTCAAGTGCATCATTGTACCTGTTCACTCATTCCTGTCCGGATTCTGATCATAAAGTATCAACACATTTATATTATCAAAACCATTTTGTTACCTAATTTATTTTTACATACAGATACTGATCTCTTAATTTTATTGTTTAAAAATTGTTAGAAGATAGTTATATCACTGTGTCCGATTAGAAGTGATAACATTATAATGTGATGATGGGAAATTTGTATGAAATCTGGACGTGATAGAGATAAAGGCATATCTATTATACAGGGTAACAGATAAAGATATTGAAATTCCGTAAACACCATTGTTTTTAACTTGAAGACGAAGCTTAATTTATTACATTGCAAACATGACACATGTCGGCGTCGCGATGCAAACCTGTTTAATTTTTTAATTACAACGTATATATTTTTTAACGAATTTTGGTAGACCGTTAAGTTGTGATTACAATGATACAACACAATATTTATTTTCTAATTCTTGTTGACTATAAAATAAAGTGCAAGTACTTTATATCACTCAACATAATGAAATCACTTATTTTAAATGTACTAATTCTTGCTTTTGTGGTAGTTTTCTTTTTTAATTCAAGTATATGGAGAACCCTTGTCAAATTTATTTACAATAAGGTAATTGACTAACCAAAAAATTTCTAGAAAATTTTTCACCAGAATTTCGAAAATAAACTATGGTTATAAAACCTAAGAGACGGTCAATCAGAATATATAAAAATATATACTATATTTTAAAAAACCAGTCGTATGTTACGCTCTGCATAGTTGAAAATGATTTTAGTACATGGTCCTCAAACAACTTTACAACTTTAGTGTCGGATTTTTTTTCTATTTTTAATAAGAATTAACGAAATATCGAAACACGCGCTTAGTGACTCACCCTGTTGTTTTTATCACAACACTTGATAGTAACTGTTATTTAATTTTTAGTTTCCGTAGATAAACTTTTAATTTGATCAATGAATTAATTTTTTGAGATACCTATATAAACAATTCTTTTATTTGGTCTAATGCTATTAAGGTAGAAATTCCTTTGATTCTGAGATACAATGATATAACAGTTTCCTAGATAAATTATAAAGCATTTGATGCATACAATTAGAAATTGGTTACATGAAGCACAAAAAAGTAGAATGTTAAAAATCAAGGCGGATTCATAAAGCATGGGTACAGACGTATAGTATTTAAAAAATTATGATTAAACAAATTTTTGTTAACGTTTTACCATTTATACGATATTCTGAAATTACGTAAAATTTGACAATCGGTTCAGTAGTTTTGGAGATTTTCTATTTAATAAAATTGTACTCATAATTAAAATTTATCTTTTCGAAAACTTAATGTCATCATACCAAGATTTTGGTGGATAAATCCTGTCTAAAATGTGGAAATTTTAGTAATGTATACAACTTGTGGTTTATCAATGTAATAATATATTTTTTAATTCGCTTATTCGGGGGACTGAAAAAAAAAAAATTAAGAAGGTAATTTATTTTTTTTGATCAAATCAAAAACAGGACGAACCATTTTTGTGAAAATTTTAGAAATTCAAAATTTTGGTGACGTCATCACTGTTTGTCATGGAAAACTCGCTTGAAGCATACGCATATTATGTCACTTTTGGCTACTAGAGTTCAGTAGTCTTTATCTTAATATACATACATATAATCAGAAAAAATAAAATTCGGAAAAGCATTTTTTTCTATTTGTCTAAAAAAAGCATTTGTTGTGTACTTCTTATTTGAGTATTTCTAATTTCAACTCTCGTTGTGTTGCAGATCGAACATGAAACTACTTCCATTAAAATTCACCCGTTGCAATATTCTTCACAGGTAAGTCAGAAATAGATATTACATTTAATATACTTAATTATGTATTATTAACAAATTTTTATAACTTATCATACAAGCTTATGATATTAATTATTTAGAACATAATATTACAACAAATTATAAAATATTCGTTAGAACTCACAGTACATTAGTTACATATTTTGACAATCTTTAAAACTGATGGCTCTACATCTATTGTCATCCGCATACTTTCTTCAGAAATTATTATGGTTTTCATTTTACAACTGCAAGCTAAGGAGTAGGACGTATTGTAGTTTTGCATATATAGCAGCTGTTATTCAATTTTTATAAAATATTGGGGGAAAGTAAGGGAATGTCGGCCGCCTAAGCCATTTCGTCAATATTATCTTTATTATTCATATAAAATTGATGAGAATCGTGTAATTCAAAGCTAATAAATAGTCTATTGAACATAAAATATAAGTACCTATATATTTTTAAATACTGTTAACAAAAATAAAAAATTATGTATTTTTTGTGTAACCTCTGCAGTGGCCGCTAATACCCGCCACAAAAGAGTAATGCCGGTCATTACCCTACATTTGCTTGTATCTTCTTTATTGGCAGAAATCATATACAAAGTATTCACGTTCAGTTTCAGCTTTGCAACCACAGTTCTCTGTTTGCCAATGTCACCACATTGACACATTGACATAAATATGTCTTCATTCACTTTTTTGTCACTACCACTTTGCGAAATGGTACTTTCTTCTGTAACTGATACGTCTTTTTTGCACATTCTTTTTCTCATAACTCATAATCCTGATAGTTTCAGTTTTTCTTGGTTTTGTTTCTTTATCTGCATAATCTTCATGAAACATTTTGCCCTTGGTTGCTTGCTGCTTCTTTGTTTCTTTCTCGTCTAAACCTGTTTTTACAGGAGTCGATGCTGATTGCTGTTTCCTACTACCTTGCTGATTTTTTTTTTTTTTTTTGATGAGCTGTTTTTATACCTGATGGTCCAGGTAATGACATTAAATCAGAAAATGAAATGACTGAACACAGGGTAGTTACGCTACTGCGTGGTGCGTTCAAGATTATATTGTTGTATTACAGAGATGGCCTACAAGGTATGCCCGTGCACACCCCCATCCCGTAAATTTTGAATTTTTTTTCAAACCATAATTCATTATAAATTCCAAAGAGCCCTCGTACTGAGTTTCATCGTGGTACAAACACTGATAAGCGCATTACAGGAGTGCCCCATATAGTATGCCCGTGTTCACCCTCAACCCCTAAATTTTGAATTTTTTTTTCGAATCATACTTACAATTCATTATAAATTCTAAAGATCTCCCACACTGAATTTCATCGTGGCACAAACACTGATGTGCGTATTACAGAGGTGCCCCGTTAATGTTATAAGCCCATACACACCCTCGTCCCTTATATTTGACTTTTTGTTGGAACTATATTTTAAAGTAAAGGCTAGATAGCTCACGCCATAAAACAATTTTTTGGTTACAATTTTCAAATATTGATATTTGCGTTTTTTCAGATAGAACACCCTGTATTTGTTAATGGTTACTGTAATATTAATAATACATATTTCAAAGTGGTTGTCAGGCATTAGGTAATGATCAGTTTATGAGATTATGATAAACAGCAAGTCAGAATTCGTGCTTCACGTTCACTTTTACTCAAAAGCGGATGGCTTTTATTTTAAAAGTTTGTAAAAATGGGCAAATTCAAAACTGCCAAGTTTACACCACGGTCTGGCAAATGGTTCTAAAAAGAATACGAAAAACAAAGAATTTGAAAATTATTATAAATATTTGACGGTCTGCCAACTTTATTTGGAATTTTTAGTCACCTGCGTCGACAACCATTATCGATTTAATAAAATGCTTTTTTGATATTGGACTTCGTACTTTATTAAAAATTTTTTTCAGAAATTTAAGAAGAGAAGTGGTACCACAGATGCGGGCAAATACTACGAACATCTCTACATAGCGAACTTAATTTTAAAATTAATAATTGATGACGACGTGGAAAATTTTTATCTGTCGTCGAACGATAGTGTATATGGTTCTTTCGATGACGTTGTAGTTGAAATTGAATTCAAAGATCGGACGGAAACGTTCGCTTTTCAATTAAAACACATTAGTAGATCAGGAGGAATAAGAATTGAGCAGTTAAATGCCTCGAGTGGGAACTTTAGCGTCGAGAAGTATTATAAAGACTTCAAAAAAGAGGTGAAGTTGTCTGACTCGTGTATCAAGTTGGTCTTGTTTACCAATTCTAAACTGAACGATGAGCACATAGATCGGTTTAAATTTGGCAAATTGACACCATGTGAACAAGTCAGTTTGCTAAGTACTCGTATTTCAAAATTGGAAGGGAAGTGTTACAGATTCGAAGAAAATGCAGATAATTTCGAAGAATATGGACCTTTTTTTAAAAATTTGTATCTCTACACTGGTCAAACAGATGCCAAAGGACTAGAAGCGTGCACACTTGAGATATTCAAGGAATATTTCAAAAGCACTGAAACCGCTTTCCGGGAGTACTTACATTTTATAACCCAGTGGAGCATGCAGGAAGGAAACAAAACCAAACTAAATAAAATATGGATGAAATACATGATAAGTCTTTGCGTACTTTCACCTTTTATCAAACCGTTATCTTTTGTTGCTGGTGAACCAGTGGACGCCAAAAGAAAATTTTTTAGAGAAGCTGTTTCGAAATTTGACTTGACTGTAATAAACAAAAACAATTTGGAAAAAATCGAGTCCGTTTGGTCAAATGCTGTCGACGGTGTAGATGAGATGAAACAAACAATTAACGTTAATAACATGTATCAACTTATCGAAAAGGGAATAGAAACAAAGGAAAGTCTCTATGATAAGGACGCAACAAAAGTATCGAAGCTCATGTGGTTGCTGGGAAAAAGTCCGTTAGTCGTTGAAGGATGTCCACAAGTTTATGAAACAATAAAAATATGTCAGGTTCAAAAGCTAATTATACTAGATGATCGAGAAACGTTTAATGGGTGTGTTAAAAAAAGTAGTACTGACCTCTGTCACGACAGTGCAGATGGTCAACAAAAACCATACTTGTTTGAAAAGTTGTCTGACTTAGAAAACCACGTAAAGTTGTATGAAGACATCCTAGCGAATTTTACATATTCATTGCAAGGGCAAAAAGAAGCAGCATTGAAATATTTGCTAGATATCTGGGAAGAAAGCGGCGACTTCATCACTACAGATGATTTAGTTGAAATGATCGAAGCTCCATTGTTGATTGGAAAATGCAAAGATGCTCTGCCACCCAGTCATGTTGAAAGAAAATTGACAAAAATTTTAATAGACATAAAATTTTTGGAAAAGATTAGTGAAAATACAATTGTTTTAGTCGATTGCTTAACAGATGTCAACTGTTTTAAACAATTTTTACCAAAGTTAGTAATCAACGAAGTGAACGACGTTGAGTTTATTCAGAACACAATTCATGAACAGAAGATATATGTTTGTGGAAAGGAAATTTCACACGAGGAATTTTCTGCATTGTGTAAAAAAAATTTAGAAATTCAGTTTCATCACTTCAGATATTTAGACAATCATCGTTTGGAATGGATGGAAAGTGAAAATTATGACCCGGAACGAAAATATATCAACGAACTTGAGAGGTTTCGTCTACAAAGTGACTTTATGGAGTACACTATACACGAGCGTCAGTACTTTATTCATTCTCGACAAAATATCAATATTATATGCGCCGATGCTGGAATGGGAAAAAGCACATTAACAAAGAGTTTAAAAAATAGTACTATGTCTACAAAGTGGATCATTTTGATCTACGCCAGAAACCACGCCTTACACTTCAGGAAACATGAATCAAACGTGGACAATTTCCTAAAATATATTTTAGAAGAAACTTTTAAGGATTGCATTAACCCGTTCCACCAGAAAGTGTTCGAAACAATGCTGAAACAAAATCAAGTACAACTAATATGGGATGGACTTGATGAAGCATCTGATGCCACTCAAATTTCCATCTTAACTTTAGTAATTGCATTTTCTAAAAAAGAAGTGAATCAATGGTTGACTTCTCGAATCAATTTAAGGGATATGTTGGAAAAGGGATTAGGGACGTTTGCGCGAAATATAAGACAATTTAGTGAAAACGAACAAAAAGAATATATAGAAAACCGTTTACGGATTACGGGTGAGGAGTTAAATGAAATTTTTAATAAAATAAGAAAAAACATAATGTCTTTTCCTAATTATGAAATATTAGGCATTCCTCTACAAATTTATATGCTTACAGAATTATTTTTAAAAGACAGAGATAAATACCTGCTTTTGTTAGACGGTATTTTCACAGTTCTTGATCTATATGAACATTTTGTTGACGAAAAGTTTCATGTTTTATATGAGGGTAAACATGCAGTTGCATTAGATTGTGAACAAAATAACCGAAAATTTGAAAAGAAAAAAAAAGCTAGAATGAACCACTATAAAAGTTTAGCTTCAAGTTATTACATTTACAACTCTTTAATTCACAAAATTGTAAATAAATTATTCCGTTACGACAAGACGATTGACAGTTTTGTGGAAAAAATTAAAAGTAAAGGAGATAATGTAGGATTTATAAGTCGCGTTATATCTAAATATGATGTTGAGTTCATTCACAATTCGTACGGTGAATATTTTGCAGCGTTATATCTATTTGAAAACAAACCATCCAAAGCACGCAACAAAAATTTTATATCTGACAGTAGATATAACAACATTCGGTTTTTTTTAGATTTAAAGCTAGCGGAAAATTCGAAGTGTTTAGTAGGTGTTATATATAAGAATCTTACAATTCTAAAAGAATTTACTGATGCAGATTTACTTAAAAAGGATATCATTGGTCGTGATATTTTGGAAGTGGCTTGCGCCTGGAATAAAAGTTATCCACTTGTTAAAAACAATATTATTTTGTATGACAAAAGTTTTAACACGGAATGGTTAATCAGCAATAATAAAAAAGTCGTTAGAACCCTAAATTATCGTGATATAGCATCAAGATTTTATAAATTCAGCGCATCGGGTCACGTGTGTTTTAAAACATTGATGATTTTGTTACCATATTTGATTCCATTATATGACGGGAATCAGTTCGCTGAAGAATATTTAGTGGCAGTTTTATATTACGCAATCAGGTTTGATTGTCCAATAATATATGAGTGTATTGAAAATTCTACTCCCTTAAAAACCACATACAATACTATTAGTTCAAGAAGCATTTTAGCCTTAGCTCTTTTTAATAGGTCAGCACAAATATTAAAAAAAGTTCTTCCCGAAAAACGATTTAGTTCTGAATGGGACTGCGTAGAAGAACTTTCAATTTTGAATTCGGAAATTGACGAAGTATTGAGTTTTGCGTTACATTTACCAGAGTTTAGAACAAATGTGCCAAATTCGAGAGGCCAGTCGTTGGCGCATTATGCATGTGAAAAAAATCTAACGAAGACGTTACGTTCATTAATTCTCAGAGAAGCAAGCATGAATGATCGGGATAGGAACGGAAAACGTCCTATAGATCTTGCACGTCAAAAAGGGTATTCAGATTGTTTAAAACACATAGCACAAATTGACGTTTTGGATAAAGACGGTCGGTTGCCACTTCATTACGCTTGTGAGGATGGAGATTTAGGTGTGACAGAAATACTTTTAACGAATGGTGCGAAAGTTGACATTCCGGATAGAGATGGACGAATGTCGATTCATTATGCTTGTAAACACGGAACATTAAACCTGGTAGAGTTACTGGTAACGAACGGAGCGAAATTTGATGTTCCGGACAGAGGTGGTCAGCTACCGATGCACTATGCGTTTAGAAATGATGAGTGGGGATGTGATATAATTTTATTTTTGTGCAAAAAAGGTGCGAAAGTGAATGTTCCGGATAGAGATGGACAACTGCCGATACATTATGCTTGTAAACACGGAGCATTAAACCTGGTAGAATTACTGGTAACGAACGGAGCGAAATTTGATGTTCCGGACAGAGGTGGTCAGCTACCGATGCACTATGCGTGCAGAAATGATCGATGGGGATGTGATATAATTTTATTTTTGTGTAAAAAAAATGCGAAAGTGGATGTTCCGGGTAGAGATGGACAACTGCCGATACATTATGCTTGTGAACACGGAACATTAAACCTGGTAGAATTACTGGTAACGAACGGAGCGAAATTTGATGTTCCGGACGGAGGTGGTCAGCTACCGATGAACTATGCACGCACAAATAGACGGTGGGGACGTGATATAATTTTATTTTTGTGTAAAAAAGGTGCGAAAGTGGATGTTCCGGATAGAGATGGACAACTGCCAATACATTATGCTTGTAAACACGGAACATTAAACCTGGTAGAATTACTGGTAACGAACGGAGCGAAATTTGATGTTCCGGACAGAGGTGGTCAGCTACCGATGCACTATGCGTTTAGAAATGATGAGTGGGGATGTGATATAATTTTATTTTTGTGTAAAAAAGGTGCTAAAGTGGATGTTCCGGATAGAGATGGACAACTGCCGATACATTATGCTTGTAAACACGGAAGATTAAACCTGGTAGAATTACTGGTAACGAACGGAGCGAAATTTGATGTTCCGGACAGAGGTGGTCAGCTACCGATGCACTATGCGTGCAGAAATGAGTGGTGCGGATATGATATAGTTTCATTTTTGCTAGAAAAAGGTGGGAGAGTGGATGTTCCGAATGGAGATGGACAACTGCCGATACATTATGTTTGTAAACACGGAAGATTAAACCTGGTAGAATTACTGGTAACGTACGGAGCGAAATTGGATGTTCCGGACAGAGATGGTCAGCTACCGATGCACTATGCGTGCAGAAATAATCTGTGGGGATGTTATATAATTTTATTTTTGTGTAGAAAAGGTGCGAAAGTGGATGTTCCTGATGGAAATGGACAACTGCCGATACATTATGCTTCTAAACACGGAATATTAAACCTGGTAGAATTACTGGTAAACAACGGAGCGAAATTTGATGTTCCGGACAGAGGTGGTCAGCTACCGATGCACTATGCATGCACAAATAGACGGTGGGGACGTGATATAATTTTATTTTTGCTAGAAAAAGGTGCGAAAGTGGATGTTCCGGATAGAGATGGACAACTGCCGATACATTATGCTTGTAAACACGGAAGATTAAACCTGGTAGAATTACTGGTAACGAACGGAGCGAAATTTGATGTTCCGGACAGAGGTGGTCAGCTACCGATGCACTATGCGTACAGAAATGATCGGTGGGGATGTGATATAATTTTATTTTTGTGTAAAAATGGTGCGAAAGTGGATGTTCCGGATGGAGATGGACAACTGCCGATACATTATGCTTGTAAACACAGAAGATTAAACCTGGTAGAATTACTGGTAACGTACGGAGCGAAATTGGATGTTCCGGACAGAGGTGGTCAGCTACCGATGCACTATGCGTGCAGAAATAATCTGTGGGAATGTTATATAATTTTATTTTTATGTAAAAAAGGTGCGAAAGTGGATGTTCCTGATGGAGATGGACAACTGCCGATACATTATGCTTGTAAACACGGAAGATTAAACTTGGTAGATTTACTGGTAAACAACGGAGCGAAATTTGATGTTCCGGACAGAGGTGGTCAGCTACCGATGCACTATGCATGCACAAATAGACGGTGGGGACGTGATATAATTTTATTTTTGTGTAAAAAAGGTGCGAAAGTGGATGTTCCTGATGGAGATGGACAACTGCCGATACATTATGCTTCTAAACACGGAATATTAAACCTGGTAGAATTACTGGTAAAGAACGGAGCGAAATTTGATGTTCCGGACAGAGGTGGTCAGCTACCGATGCACTATGCATGCACAAATAGACGGTGGGGACGTGATATAATTTTATTTTTGTGTAAAAAAGGTGCGAAAGTGGATGTTCCGGATAGAGATGGACAACTGCCGATACATTATGCTTGTAAACACGGAAGATTAAACCTGGTAGAATTACTGGTAACGAACGGAGCGAAATTTGATGTTCCGGACAGAGGTGGTCAGCTACCGATGCACCATGCGGTCAGAAATGATCGGTGGGGATATGATGTAGTTTCATTTTTGCTAGAAAAAGGTGGGAGAGTGGATGTTCCGAATGGAGATGGACAACTGCCGATACATTATGCTTGTAAACACGGAAGATTAAACCTGGTAGAATTACTGGTAACGTACGGAGCGAAATTGGATGTTCCGGACAGAGGTGGTCAGCTACCGATGCACTATGCTTGCAGAAATAATCTGTGGGGATGTTATATAATTTTATTTTTGTGTAGAAAAGGTGCGAAAGTGGATGTTCCTGATGGAGATGGACAACTGCCGATACATTATGCTTCTAAACACGGAATAAACCTGGTAGAATTACTGGTAAAGAACGGAGCGAAATTTGATGTTCCGGACAGAGGTGGTCAGCTACCGATGCACTATGCATGCACAAATAGACGGTGGGGACGTGATATAATTTTATTTTTGTATAAAAAAGGTGCGAAAGTGGATGTTCCGGATGGAGATGGACAACTGCCGATACATTATGCTTGTGAACACGGAACATTAAACCTGGTAGAATTACTGGTAACGAACGGAGCGAAATTTGATATTCCGGGCAGAGGTGGTCAGCTACCGATGCACTATGCGTGCAGAAATTACGACGAGGGATATGATATAATTTTATTTTTGCTAGAAAAAGGTTCGAAAGTGAATGTTCCGGATGGAGATGGACGGCTGCCGATACATTATGGTTGTGAACACGGAACTTTAAGTACATTGAAATTATTAGTATCGAATGGTGCGAAGGTGAATACTCTGGATCACAGTGGCAAACTGCCGATCGACTACGCGCGGAAAAACCGAAACTTTGACAGTAACATGAGAAATTTTTTGTTAAAAATACATGAAATCTAAAATTGTCGAAACAATTATCGATAAAGGAGTTCTGATAAAATTTTTGGCGGATATCGTGTAGTTCTTTTGTTACGTAGGTATATGCATATGCGTGATTCTATTTCATTTGACATGTCCATCCAGTCAGTTACTACTATTTTATACTTAGTAATCGTTTTCATTTAAATACGACCCAACCTAACGATGAAGTCCTTTCTCCTTACTAGTTTCACTTCCATGCACACGCAAATAAGCAATAAAACTTTTTGGCCATAACACACTAGTTACAAAATTTTATTCTTTTATGTCCAATGATCGAAACAGACAGCTCCGAAATATTTCAGTTTCTATGATATTTTTAATTAAAATGTATTAGGACCAAATTACTTATAAACAAATCAAAATCTATTAAAGGTAACGATGTTATTATATGCGAAAAATTTGCTAAACTGCCATTATCATAGATTTAAAATGACGCTATTCCTTTGAAAGGACATTTTGCAGATCATAAAACACAGCTTAGAAAATTAGTTTACTTGCTAAGGCAATTTAAAAATATTAAATTTTAAGCCATTGAATTTATTGTTTTTAAGATGTATCACGGTTATTATAGTGCATCGTAATAAAAGAACCTTAACCAATCAAGTAAAATGAACATATAGATCAAGATTAAATTTGTCATTAATTTATAAGGTGTGAATATGCAGAAAATATATATAGATATAGAAATCATTAACGTTCAAATCCAATTCAAAAATTTATAGAGGAATGACTTGATATTTCAGTGTTTTGCGACATAGTTATGTAGGATCTAATTATTTTTAGACCGTTAAATAATAATAACAAATTACTATTTTAAATATAAACGTACAAAATTTGTCAAAGATTGAAATTTTCACCGTTTTCTTTAAGTTGATATATATACCGTTTGGTTTGAAGAATTCTTAAATTTTTAACTCTCTGGAAATAGTCTGTGATATCTGTCATAAATGTTATATATTTTAGTATAATTGGAGTCCATCCATGTTAACACGGCTAAGTTTATTTATTAATGTATCATATAGGGGAGACCTGTCCAAAACCGTATAGCTAAGCGGAAATGTATATATCTCTGTAATAATACACAATAGAATTGTCAAATCAACATTTTTATTGACCAGTCTTATCAGGTACATAATTGTAAGAACAAAAATTGAAAGATGTAACTTATCGACGAAATAAAAATATTAAAACAAAAACACTCCTAATTACGGTTTTACCCCGTGTACTGTCCAAAACCGTACACAATATACGATTTTGCCACAACATTCACACCAAACACTTAGTGCACAAAAAATCATCAAGATCATCGAATCGTAACCTGTACAACCTTCATGGACCCAACCATTACAGGAAATACACTGTACCCAACCCTCATCCATGCGACTTTGACCATATTTTTCAAGGCAGTATACGCAAAGATCTTTACTATCTCCAGTTTTACTTTCTACTTTATCTTTATTTTTTTTCTTGGTTTCTGACAGATTCAACTTTGGTTTTTTAATTTTCGACTGCGAATTACTTAGAAACTCGTCTTTATACTAACCGAGTTTACCCCGTACGGTTCTGCCCCAAGATAACCTAAAATGAACATTTTGCTCACCACAACAAACACAAAAAAAATCGGTTAAGACAAACACTGAAAATAATAGTAGAAACACATACAATGATATCGTAAATTACGTACTTACATTGAATTCCGTTAACAGTATACACTTGCAGTGGTTATTTAGTTAATAATTAGATTACAGCACCCGAAAAATATTAAATTTATTTAATTTTGTAATGAGCGTGGCAGCATTAACAAGTTTTTGTCGACAAATGGCTCTCATTGGTAGATTCCATTGACAGAAGTTTGACCAGCAAATTCAAACAACCAGCAGTTCTAAGGGCACTATACGGTTTTGGACAGATCTCCCCTACATTAAAATTATCGGGTGTCTGATTGAACCCTGGTTAGTGGGCTGCTTCCCACTTTATTGTTTTTTCCGTATGTCGTATAGTGTTTCTCATTGTGTTGGAGACAGTTGTCATTTCGCTGTCAGAGTCAATTAAAAAATTATTAATTCACAAAAGTTGATGTGACAAACGAATGACAGCTGCTAACATGGCAGTCTTGACCAGGTTTTCATTGCGACACCCGCTATTTTATGGCAAATAGTTAATGTGTAGCGTCAAATGTACTGTCACGCCCTGTGACCATACAGAGTGTTTTGTAATAAAACCATGTATTTGTTACATTAAGATATACCAACTAAACTGTGATAATAAATTCAATTCGTATTGATGTGGGCCATTATTACACCAATCCAATGACACGATTCTTCAAGGAATCCACAAAACAGCGACCATTCTTTTAAATTTTACGTGGTAAGTGGACATTTATATTTGTGATATTTAAAGTTATACTTTTCTTAATAATATAGTATTTACTGCCCAATTCTTCTTTTCCAACGTATTTTTATTAAAGAACTATTTTCACTAATATCAGTCGTTTACAGGCGAAATACGATTCTTTTGTCTTCGTTACGGATGTAATGAAGACAAAAGAATCGTATTTGTAAAAATTCATGTAATTTAATTTTTAGTTTAAATTTATTATAACTTTAAGAGAACAAACACTGCGTGCACACTTAGTATCCATGTTTTCGACAGCGAGCTTAAAAAATTAGTAAGTATTAGGGATGTACCGACTAGTGGCCGACCGGTCGGATAAGCCGACTATTCGGCCGTTTTTCATTGTCGGCTGGCAGTCGGCGACTGGTCGGCTAAACAGCCAATCGGTCGGCTTCTTTTATTAAAATTGTATATAAAACAATTAAACCCGGTTTACACAACCTCAATTAAATATTTAATTGCGATTTAATTTTTAATCCCGCATTGAAGTACCTACCATGTGACCGACTCTACGCCAATCAGACGTCGCTAATGGCCTTGTTAAATGCGCGATCAAGTTAATCTCAGTTAAAACATTGAAGAAACTGGCCCTAAATTGTGTTATTCTTTATTTTTGTACTGAGTGATTAAAAAAAATTAAATGTTTTAAAATTACCCAAACAAATTTAACACATTTTTTTGAAAACAAAGGAACTTTAGTTATTCCTTTTATTAAAATAAAACAAATTTTTAAGGTAGTCAGAGAAATAGAAAAAAAAACACACTGTCTGTCGCATTTATAAACCGGTTTTAGCAAAGCCGAACAGTCGGCCGACTAGTCGGTTTTTACTGGCCGAACAATCGGCTAGTCGGTTAGTCGGCCAGACCTACAGTCGGTACATCTCTAGTAAGTATTAAATAAATAATTAGACGAGAAAGAGAAAGCTCCCGACATAGCAACTAGTCTTGTCACTTAGAGTCGATTGCGTCGATAACAACTTTAAACCTTTAATGCATTATGGTTCGGTTCCAAAATTGCTGTTATTTTAGAATTCGTAAACATTTATTAAGTATCATCTTCAAAATAGTACAACAAACAACAATAATATATAAATATAAATATAAATCATTTCTTCTAGACTACACCTTTTAACAGTAACTTTTTCTAGAATAAATACATTAAGAAAAAATCCAACAACAAAATCTTCAAAAACGCCTAAATGAGCGAACACAGGGAAGTACATCTAAAACACTTTGGCAACATTTAAATAGAGGTCGTGTTCTATATTCTTAAATCTTATACATTGGTGCTTTTTGACACAGTTGGAAGATAGTATTGAGGTCAATTCGTGTTACACACTATTTTTTTTTTGTTCTCAGGGTACAAAAATGAATACAAATTGACTACGAATATTCCTGTCATCAGTCTTGAGGTGATATGAAACCAAATACCTAAGTGATATTATATACCCTGCCTTTATGAATAGAATACTTATTGCCTTACTCAGTTTGTTTGTGGTGTTCATTTCCATCGTAGATTTGTCCGAGGAGAAATTCTGGTCCGATGTATTTCAGGATGGTAGTATTATTCCCAACTGCAGAAAATGTTATCTGTGAAAGAAAATATTGATATAAGCAGGTTTGTGACATCGCAATGATTATTATTTATGAGGTTTTAAACTATTCATTGTTATAGATTTCATCAAGTATCGGCTTTCCTAAAACAACAGTCTGTAGGGCACAGACCAAAGAAATCCAAGGTGTTCACGCTCGAAGAAATGGAAATGTTCTTAGATAATCCTTCTGATGATGAATATTTAATACAAAAAGTAATTTTTTTCGTAGAATTCGTGAATTGGTGGCCGAAGAATACACCGCTCATAGTTTTAGGGGTTCGAGTGCAACTCTACCAGCAGACTCTGTGGTAGTTTCAACAGTTGTAAAGTGACACGTGACACGGTGGCTGGCGGTCGAATAGTGTTGTGGAAGATAACATAGAGGATTCTCTGAACATGAAATCGAAATTTTGAGAAGAATCATCAAGCAATCATCAAAATCGTTAATAATAGATCTGTCTTGAATTGTAACTTTTATATTTCAGACTACAAAGACAAAAATTAATTCACTGTTAATATTTCTTTAGAAGAAATAAAAATCTGTGGATGTCTAGGTATGGATTTATTATTTTATGTACACATATTTACAAACGACACTTCAACAACCTGGTTGCGTTGGAGCTCTGCGGCGGCGAGGAGCGCGGTGTTCTTCGTGATCTTGCTGCTTCTGTGGACGATGGCAGAGAGAGCGAGTTGTGCCTCCGTCAGGCCTTTTCTAGCCACGCTTCTCCTTTTCGCTTCTGCGTGGTACGCCAGCCAATTAGCGGTGTTCTTTGTAGGCGTACGGTTGGTTGCCTATAGCGCAGGCAACTTGCTCGCCACACAAGCATAGGCGGCGCTCGGCGCCCCGATGCGGTGCATCTTTCGCTTACCGTGTTGAGCCGGCCCTGGTCAAACCCATTTTACCTAACAACTTAACCCGTAAGCGTAATATCATATAAAGTAAAATTTTTATTAAAAAAAAATTATTACAAAAAAAAATGCATATTTGTCGGCTCACATAAAGTGCAGGCAGGGTTGGGCACTATTTGAACTACTTATAATTGAAATACAGTATTTGAAATACAATTGTATTTTGTAATTTGTATTTCAAATACATGACACAAATGTATTTTGTATTTTGTATTTCAAATACATTTTAACTTGTATTTTTGTATTTTCAATTACTTCAAATACATTTTATCAAACTACGACACGCTCATTACAACAGTTTTGCGATCGTGTTAATTCGTGTATGTTCGTGTACTTCGAGAAGTAACAGGATATTCTGTGGTTGTAATCATATATCTAATAGTACCAGTGACGGCTCGTCAGGGACGGCAGGGTCGGCCAGGCCGTACCAAATAATTTGAGAAATAAGAAAACAATTTTTTGAAAATCCAAATTTTTTATTAGCATTTTTGAAAGACTGATACGGTAAAATGTACTATAATTTTTAAAAATTAAAAAATTAATAAACATAAATAAATAAAAATAATTACAATTAATTTCTAATAATGAAGACACAATTTAATGTTTTAAATTCATCCCGGAGAGAAACTATTTTACTATGTCAAATGCCTATATAGACACGGGCCCGGCCGGCCGATGCGTTGAAAAATTACCAACAGTAATCTACGAGCTACGGCTTATGCTTTCCGATGGTTATATGGCTGCGTTAAGTTACAATTCTGGCGTAGATTGAAACACACAACATCGGCCGATAGCGCTCTGGCCGATTTTGCCGCAGACGCAGACGACACCGTGGATGCGGCGCGCTCGTTTCTACTTATCGCTCTTTTATTTTATTCATTTCCATATTTACAGTTTTTCATTATCCTTAATTAATACCTTAATGTAAATACAGGATTGTGAATTATAAATTATTAAAAACTGATTAAAGAATTATGCATGTCAAGCATAAAGTTTCAAAATTTAAGAAAGTCGTTAATAATTTAATTTAGTTGGGTAAAATTGGATGATTCAAACAATACTGCAATCTTTTTATCAATCACTTGATCACATACGGTATATTCCTAACTATAGAGTGTTGAAATTGTATTCATCTCCTGTAATAAAATAGTTATTTTACATAAAATAGTCGAATAATTTATTTTAATATACCGAAGATGAACGAATATTTTTGAACAGTGTTGGTTGCACGTTGCACGAAGCGCTTGATTGAATTGGTAAATAATTAAATATATTTATATTAATTCGTATAAAAACTCACGATGGACACTTCTCGCAATATAGTTGACATGAATGGCGACTTGGTTAATTATTTATTAATAAATAAATTTAAAGAATTAATTTATGGCCATAAAGTTTTTGTGAAGCAACGTTAATGATCAATTTGATTCAAACGAAGCCTGGTCATAATCGTACATTTTCTAAAACACTCTACTGAAAATATCCTTCGTTAGCTGGAAGCGAAACACGTAACAAATTATTTTGCTGGCATTATTTATTATTTTCGGAATCCAAGAACCCTTATAATTCTAGTGGTTATGATAATTTAAAAGAAGTTCATCGTGCACTGGCCAAACGCAAAATTTCTAAGGAGCATATTCATTTGACTCTAAAATTTAAATTGTTCGGAAAACACAATATCGCGAATTCGTTGGATAGTGCTAGACACGAATACATATATAAATAAATACAATGAAACTGTTCGAGAAAACAGAATTATGGTAAAACATTTATGATTATTATTTTTCTATCAACACAAGAAATGGCATTTCGAGGTAACGACGGAACAAGTGGTTCGGATAATCAAGTCAACTTTAAGGAGTTCGCAAAATTTTTAAAAAGAATTCGAAATGAAGATCATTATTTTCAAAGATATATTCTGATGTTGAAGAGATTGCTACTTTAAGATTGCTGATATAGCTCCTCCATCTGCGAAACGGCGTAAAACTGATTTAACGAATGACAATGACATTTTATTAACTAAAAAACGTTTACTAATTAGAGTTATCCCCATGTTTGGCCGACCCACATTTTTTTGGCACGAGCCGTCACTGAATAGTACTATATTGCTAACTCTTCAGAAGTAACATAGAAACGCTGTTCACGGACAGAGAGAGACAGAATATCTTGTTTTCTGTCTATAAGAGTACCGAGGGTCTGTGCGCATGTACACAAAATAGAAGCGAAAGTACGAAATGTCAAAACGCATCCAGTCACGCTATCCACTACAAATCAACCAAGTATGAGTGCATGCGCAGTACTGTTTGGTACCACACACACACAGAGAGGTCCGATATATTGCTCTGCCGTTATGTTTTCGGAATCTTTTGAGGCCAGTTAGCAATATAGTACTATTAGATATATGGTTGTAATAGAGAACATAGAGAAGCGCCATAGTTTAAATTAAATGACGGTTGAGGACTTCGCAATTTATGTTGGCAGCAGTGTTTGGTTCTAACTAGGAATAAAATTAACTACATAGAAGAAATGTCACAATATTTTTAACGACGCGTTTTACTTTCGACAAATTGACACTAGATGGACATGGAATGTAACATACAGGGCCAACTTATAAAGATAGTGAAAGAATTCTGACACTTAACTTTAAAATTTTTAGGAACGAGCTTCTATCAAAATTTTATTTTTGCCACTGTCCTGAACATATTTTGTATTTTTAAAAGTATTTGAAATACTATTTTGTATTTTGTATTTCAACTACAAGACATAAATGTATTTTGTAATTTGTATTTCAAATACATTAAATTGAAGTATTTTGTATTTTGTATTTCAATTACAGTGGAAAGTGTATTTTGCCCAACCCTGAGTGCAGGTAATTGGTATGGGTCGACGCAGGTAAGAATAATTAAGGAATTCATGAAACCGCAAGTCCATAGGGATTAAGCGAAAAAGGATATTTGACAAAATGTACGGCTTGGGTCATTTTTACCCACGCGCGACTGCTTATGGGTTAAGCAACGTCTCAAAATAAAACTCAAGATTGTGTAGGTCAATATATATATATATACATGATGAATAAAAAAATTGTTTATTGAGAGAAGGTCTGCTTATATAATTTTTTGTTACGTGTAGTTTGTTTCTTATTATTATTATATTTAATTTTACCACAACAACGGAATCATATATAATTAATTTTTATTATTCATTTCATAACCACCGTTGTTGTCCGTTTGCGACGACTTTTTAAACAAAAAGTGTGTTATGTTTACTATCTTTTCCAAGAATTCCAAACACGATGGAGAGAATAAGGCGCACAACAGGGATCCTGTATGAAAATTCATCGAACAAAGATTTTACCTTTTATTGTGAAAATTACATGTTTATACTATTTGTGCAATTGACCCTTTTCCTGTAAGATCGTAAAACTTTCGTTGTGACTTTCCGTGCGCACGCATCTTCAAAACCACCTTGGAAATAGTATCCGGCACTCCGGCAGCAGAGCAAATGCCTGTGACAACAAACTAGTATTGGGCGATTACGAATGATATAATCGAGATATCTCGATTATACCCGAAAAATCGATCATTCGATTATCGTTTAGAAATCATTCGTTTATTCGATTATTCGTTTCGTTTTTCGTTTCGATTGCGCACGAGTACACGAACCGATTACGATTCGAGATTCAGGCAACTAAGCGTGGAAAATAATCGAAATCATTAGTAAATTTCATTTGTTAGGTTGGTGGTGGTGTGTTACAAGTGTGACTGATTATAACTAACTACATAATACATATAATAATTTACAAACATATTGGGCCGTATGATTTCCCTTTTGTTAAGCCAATCGGTTTCTAAAATTTTGATTACAATGAGTGAAAAAAGAATTACGATAAAAGCATATATCAAAGAGAGAAAAAAAAAACGAACGTCTCTAAATATTAATTAAGGGAAAAGAATACGGACCACTGACAATGAAACTATTTTCAATCAATAAATAAATCGTAATTGAATGTTCGATTTAGATTTCGTCAAGCCACGCATGCGCACTGGACAATAATCGAATTGGCGAGTGATTATTCGATTATTTTAAACGATTATTTCGATTCATTCGATTAGTGAAATATGTCGATTATGCCCAACACTACAACAAACATCTTTGACAGAATGCAACCGGAAACACATGCGTAACCTGTCTCTCATTGGTTAATTTTAACCATGGCCGACTAGTATAAAGATTATGGCCTGTCCAAGAGCTACGATACGTGTCGCCATCTATTAATAATTACACTTAATAATTTCGCAAAATTTTAATTTGACTTGACATTATGGGACTTCAAAACGTGTAATGGTGGTTTGTTTCGGTATGAATGCCTTTGTGCCTTTCAAAAAGTGTTAATAATTCTTTTGTCGTGTTTGAATTATTAACAGATGGCAGCACGTATGGTACCTTTGGCATTCCTTTGGACAGGCCATAATCTTTATACTAGTCGGCCATGTTTTAACTTGGCGCTCCAAAAATCTGACTTCGCCTGCGCGATGTTGTCTCACTCTGTATCAATGGAATTTATATAATCTCTACTCACTTTGCTTACAGGAAAAGGGTCAATCCAATCGGAAAAGCAGTCTTAAACAAGCAAAACCGGCA